ATTGGTGTCCTGCAAGACTAAAACCTGAGGTTCTTCCAGCATCATCTCATGGTGTCCAAATGGAAAACCAAAACGGAACCTTTCTTCTTAGAACATAGAACAGCAGAAGGGACCTTGGAGGTCTTCTAGCCCAACCTCTTGCTCAAGCAGGAGACCCTATGCCATCTCAGACAAATGGTTGTCCGGTCTCTTTTTGAAAGCCTCCAGTGATGGAGCACCCACAACCCCAGATAAGGCAAGTCATTCCACTGGTTGATTGTTCTCACTGTCTGGAAATTTCTCCTCAGATCTAGGTTGCTTCTCTCCTTGGTTAGTTTCCGTCCACTGCTTCTTGTTTTTAAGCTTCTGGCACTTTGGAAAATAAGTTGACCCTCTCTTCTTCATGGCAGCCCCTCAAATATTGGAACACTGCTATTAGGTCACCCCTAGTCCTTCCTTTCACTAGACTAGACATATCCAGTTCTTTAGCCTTGACAGAACAACCGTGTCTTCACGACTGCCTGTCTCAAGAGGTATAGCACAGAATTGTCATGCCTTTGCAACCTGAGACATCTATTTCCTCTGTCTAATGGTAGGACCAGTTGAAAGCCTGCTACATTTCAGCTTTTTGGTTTCACACCATATAATATCATAGGGACTTCAACTCCCAGAATTCCCCACCCAGCCTGGGGAACCAAGGAGTACTTGACTTTTTTTTCTCATCTCCAAAAAAGGTCAAACCTTGCCAAAGTGGTCAAATTAATGCATTAAATTTAAAAAAAAGATCATGAAAATGCAATCAGCCTGAGAACCTTCTAGTGTTTTAATTTGACCATTGCAGCTAGCTAGGCTCAGGCTGGTGCTGAAGTTCTGGTTTTGTGCCTCCTCCGGGGTGACTTTGACAACAGGGCACTCTGCTTTTAAATCAATGATGATGGATTCATCAAGCCTGATGCAAAGCTCCTGCACTTTGCCAAAGTCTTTCACTCTGATCTTCACGCTACAGTGATTCTCCATTTTAACCAATTCTGTCAGGGATGAAGCTCAAAAAATACAGCCCGGGCTGTTCTTTGCCCCCACTGCAATTTGCACAAATCCCCACAAGACTTTGTGCACTAACAACAAAAGAAGTTGGTTAGTGAGAAATATAGACCTTTTTTATTTTTCAACCACCCAGAAGGTGATTGTGGGCACGGCAACTCATTAATTGATAGATGAAAATTAATTGGCGAGGTAGGTGTTGATCCTTTATATGTAATTGAAAGTTTGAACAACAGCGATAAGAACTAATACAGAGCGAAGTAGAATGAAAAAGAAGAAAGAGAGAGAGAGAGAAGGAAAAGCTAAGGGTGGAGAAAGATACAAAATAGGAGAAAAACAAAAAAAAGATGTAAAGAAGGCCTTTTTGTACCATCTTTACAAAATGTAATGATTCTAGCTTCTAATGGGGAAAGACATTAAAAAGAGGCTGATATTGCATTAATACATAAGGAGGGCAAAATTTGACTTTAAGAAGATACTATTGGTCCATATTATTTTTGAATAATGATTATAAATTGTTTGTTTGCTTGTTTATAAAATGTATTGGTTTGCAATGATTCTGAAAATAATTGCTCAGGATGAATCTGGGGGGAAGGAAGGAAGGAAGGAAGGAAGGAAGGAAGGAAGGAAGGAAGGAAGGAAGGAAGGAAGGAAGGAAGGAAATTTGAGAAGGGAACTGAAGCTCACCTATATTGGCCTGCCTGTTTTTCATTTCCTCGTCTGGTCTACCAGTGCCACATCTTCCTTGTCAATCAAAACTGCTATAATGGCACAACCCAATCAATTCATCGGATGACTGTGACTGAACGATATTTCACTCTTGGTTCAGGGGGCTCCATGTCCTACATTCATCTTGCTCACTCGCTTTATTATTTTCTATTCACTGAACCATAATTTTTCCAGCCAAACTCGGAGAGGGAGGCCACTGTTCATTCGAATGCCCTTTGTCAACGTCTTCCTTTCTGATTTCTTTGTTTGATCTACCAAAGTCAATGACAGCCTGGAGAAGCGAGTGGGGAAAACCTGAAGGGTGAAATAATTCCTACAATTATTTTAACTCATTTGGGGGTTTTTTGGCCCTGATTGGAAATATTGATCTATTCATTCATCTCAAACACTGGCTGTGTTTGGAATAAGAAGTTGTCCTTTAAAAAAAGGAGGAGGAGGAGGAGGAGGAGGGGAGGAGGAGGAAAAAGAAGAAGAAGAAGAAGAAGAAGAAGAAGAAGAAGAAGAAGAAGAAGAAGAAAGAAGAAGAAGAAGAAGAAGAAGAAGAAGAAGAAGAAGAAGAAGAAGAAGAAGAAGAAGAAGAAGAAGAAGAAGAAGAAGAAGAAGAAGAAGAAGAAGAATTATTTCCCCAAAACAAAACAAGAAAAATTGCTTCCTGTGCAACCTATATTCCAAAGGACCTGAAGGCAGGAAAAGAAGCAACGGATGGAAACCGATCAAGGAGAGTAGCAACTTAAAACTAAGGAGAAATTTCCGGAGAATTAGAACAATTAATCAATGGAACAACCTGCTTCCAGAAGTTATGGGTGCTCCGTCACTAGAGGTTTTTAAGAAGAGATTGGACAGCCATTTGTCTGAAATCGGGTCTCCTGCTTGAGTAGAAGGTTGGACTACAGGACCTCCAAGATCCCTTCCAACTCTGTTATTCTGTCAGTCAGTGTGTCCTCCTTTCCAAGTCTCCATGTCTTTCTTTGCCTGTTTACTGGAACCCTCCTTTCACCTGAACTGTGTGGTCCACACCTGGAGAAATAGGGCCTCAACCGACTAGATTAAAAGGCTAAGTTCTGCTGCTCCCAATCAGGGCGATATTACCAAGCAGAAACTGGTTACCGTTCTGAGTCAGCCAGGGTAGGGTTTGCAAAGTTCTGGGGTTTTTTTTCCACCCCGTGTGTGTGTGTGTGTGTGTGTGAGAGAGAGAGAGAGAGAGAGAGAGAGAGAGAGAGAGAGAGCTGGGGAGAGAAAATCTATTGGACTGACACGGGGAATCTGTTGCTGAATTTATCATTCTGTCAAGGACACGGAGGCTGGTGTGAGCACCGGCAGGAAAACAATTTGCTGAAGCAGTAAGTTGCAATTCATTGGAAACCTGTTCCCAGCATCCTGTTCCACACTCAACAGCTGCTGAAGTGGAACTTGAAATATGGGCTTGGTGATGTAGGGAGAAAATGGATAATGCAGCCTTTCGGAGCTGACCTGGTGCTGCCAGCAGGATCAGATCACCGCCTGATACTGCCAGCTCTTAGCAGCCCTTGGCGGTATCTTGTGGGGGAACAGTGTGCAACACGATGCCCCCCCCGCTCGAGTGCATGGCAAAATAGCCAACCCCCTGGTGTGCAAAGAAGCAGGAGCGTGAACAGAAGTGTGCTCAGGGGTGCCCTTTCTCTTCTTTAGAGAGGGAGCTAAGCAACAGTGTTTTGCTGCCTGAAGCAAAAATGAATTCAGACACACCACACCACACCACTATTCCTAAAGCTCTTTGCACTGGGACAAATCCTGCAGGGTCTTTCTCTCCCACCCGCCCGCTCCTCATGCAGTCCAAATGCAAAAGGATAGGCTTCCATTCAGGTTAGTCTGGGGAAAAAAAAAAACAGGGGAGGTATAGCTGCTTTCATTGCATGTTGCTTATTTTCTGTGCTGTTTATTTACCTTCTGGTGTTTTTTATTATTATTATTATTATTCCTGTTTACTCCAACCCTTTTTAGACTGCAAACTTATATGGAAGGTTTATTATATTTGTTGCAATGACCATATGATGCCCTTTGGAGGAGGAGGAAGGAAGGAGGAAGGAAGGAGGGGGAGGGGGAGGAGGGAGGAGGAACAGAAAGGGAGGGAAGGGAGGGAGGAGGAAAAGAGGAAGGAAGGAAGGAAGGAGTAGAAGAGAAAGAAAGAAAGAGGTAGAAGAGAAAGAAAGAAAGAAAGAAAGAAGAAGAAGAAAAGAAAGAAAGAAGTAGAAGAGAAAGAAAGGAGCAGGAAGGAAGAAAAGAAAGAAAGAAAAAGAAAGGAGAAGTAGAAGAGAAAAAAGAAAAAGAAAGGAGAAGTAGAAGAGAAAAAAGAGAAAGAAAGGAGAAGAGAAAAAGAAGTAGAAGAGAAAGAAAGGAGAAGGAAGGAAGAAAAGAAAGAAAGAAAAGAGTAGAAGATAAAGAAAGAAAGGAGAAGTAGAAGAGAAAGAAAGAAAGAAAGAAAGAAAGGAGGAAGGAAGAAAAGAAAGAAAGAAAGAAAGAAAGAAAGAAAGAAAGAAAGAAAGAAAGAAAGAAAGAAAGAAAGAAGGGAGGAGGGAGGGAGGAAGGACCACCATTCTTTGGAAGAACAGATTCAACACCAATAAATAAATAAACAAACAAACAAACAAACAAACAAATAAATAAATAAATAAGCAATAATCTTCCACTTCTTTCCTTTGGACCACAAGACGGCAACCTGTCGTTTCTTCCTTCCTTCCTTCTTTCCATTCATTCTTCTTTTTCTTATGTAAAAACTCAGGTCAGCTTTCTCCAAATTCTCCAGCTGTGCCAGACTACAACTCCCATCATCCACACACACACACACACACACACACACACACACAGAGCACAAGGATGCAAATCTTGACCCACCCTCCTTAGGACCCCAAACCAGGCAATGTTTTGTTCTCGGAAAGTTTCGGGTCGAAATGATTCGTTAGTAAACACAAGACTGGATGCGCTCAGCCCCGCCTCCCTCCTCTCCCCTGCCCCGCCCTCGGGGAGGAGGCGTGGCCAGAGGAGACGCCACGTTCCTTCCTCTTCTGCCCCGCCCGCCAGCAGGAGGCGTGGCCACAGTGCGACGCCACGCTTCTGTCTCTCTCTCTCTCTCTCTCTCTCCTGCCCCGCCTTCCAGGAGGAGGCGGGGCCAGAGAGACGCCGCGTGCCATCCTCCTGTGCCCCGCCTGCCAGCAGGAGGCGTGGCCAGAGTGAAGCCACGCTTCTCTCTCTCTCTCTCTCTCTCTCTCTCTCTCTCTCTCTCTCTCTCCCCCCGCCCCGCCGTGCGGGAGGAGGCGTGGCCAGAGGACAGGCAGGTTCCGCCATAGAGAGCGGGAGAGAGCGGAAGTAGACCCGGATTTCTCTTGCTGGCAGGGAGGTGAGTGGCGGCGTTTGTGGCTCGACTCCGGATTTGGGGCGGTGGGAGGGGGCTGCTGCGCCTCTTTGCCTCCGACCCTTCCCCAGCCCTGCCGCTTCATGCAGCCCCGTCTCCCCTGAGTTCCCCCCTGCCACCTCTGGGCTTCAGAGAGACTGCCTTGGCATAGGGAGGCTCTACTTCGGTTCCCATCTGCAGGGCAGGTCAAAAGCCTTTTGAGACGTTATTGATTCCTTACTGTGGTGGTCCATATCCGGGAGGAAAAGCTAGGTCTGGATACCCTAAAGCAGCGTTTCCCAACCTTAGGAACTTTAAGATGCGTGGACTCTAACTCCCAGCTGGCTGGGGAATTCTGGGAGTTGAAGTCCACGCATCTTAAAGTTCCTAAGGTTGGGAAACGCTGCCTTAAAGGAATATTCTGGGATCAGCCTCCAAGGCTGTATCCCCCTTTCCAGCTAGGAAGCCGGAAGTAACTTATTTTCTTTGGCACCCCGATTGGAAAACCTGTTACAGATCGTCCTCTACTTACGACAGTTCTTCTACTTCTTCTTCTTCAAAGTTACAACGGCATTAAAAATGTGACTTAACGACCATTTTTCACCCTTTGTAGCATCCCCACGATCACGTGATCAAATCTAAGATGCTTGGCAACCAAGTCATACTTACGACTGTTGCAGTGTCCCGGGGTTCTTGGGATCAACCCTCAGACAGGCAACGTCACTGGGGAAGCCAGATTCACAGAACAACCGACTTACTAACTTAATCAACCGCAGTAAATCGCTTAACAGGTCGTAAAAGGGGGCAAAATTCACTTAACAGAAATGTGGGATTCAATTGTGATCGAGGACTACCTGTACTCCCAGATTAGGGAGGCGATGGGAGTGCAGATTCAAAAAATAAAAAATTCAAATTTTCCAGTTTTCAAAATTTCCCAGGCCTTTAATCAGAGACCGATTTTACATTATTATTATTAAGAATGCAAAAAAAGCAACCCAACCTACCACCTACTGCAGGGGTCTTCAAGCTTGGCCCTTTTATGACTTGTGGACTTCAACTCCCAGAATTCCTCAACTAGCGTGCCTGGCTGAGGAATTCTGGGAGTTGAAGTCCACAAGTCATAAGAGGGCCAAGCTTGAAGACCCCTGACCTACTGCAATGTTTCTCAACCTTAGCAACTCTAAGATGTGTCAACTTCAACTCCCAGAATTGAAGTTGAAGTTCACACTTTTTGAAGTTGCCAATATTGACTGTGGCTTACTAGCTGATAGCAGTTTAAATTCCCTTTTGCCTTATTGGTGGCAGATATACTTTCTGAGACAAGCTTAGTTTTCAGGATTTTGATAAAATAAGCCACTCTAAAACCATGATTTTACAAAAGGGCTGCTTGTTTATAAGTTGGCCAACCACCGTTTGCTGTTTTTAGACTATCTAGCAAGTTTGGCTTACTGGAAACAGAAATGATTTCATATTTCTTGTGGATGTATTAGAGAGAAGGGCTAAAGGTATGTTTGAACAGTTGTGATCTCCCAAGCTCCTTTTAAAATTATTTTTCTCCACCAGACTTCTGTATTGAAAATGTCTCCTGTTTACATCCATCGTATGTTCTCCTGGACCCCCCATTCTATATTTTGTGGTCTACTTTACTTAAGGTGCTAGAACAGGGGTGTCAAACTCTCAATGTCACGTGATGTGTCGCAACGTATCATGACTTTTTTTTTCCATTGCCGGCAATGGGGTGGGTGTGGTTTCACTAGGATCCAACTGGCCTGAGGGCCAGCAGTTTGACACCTGATGTACATGTTTGTTTTGGGCTGAGCTTCTTTTGTGAATACTGTACAATCATAGTGTGTTTTACACACCCAGTGCATTTCAGATTATTCAAGGAAATGTTTAGTTTGTTCAGTTTTGCCTTAAGAGCGATGCAAACCCTTCACTGCCATAAACCGTAATCTGTAACTAGTAAATCCGCCGTGGCTGTATTTTCACAGTCCAGCTTATCCTTAAACCATGATTTATAAATGAATTCACTGGGTTTGCAAAATGTTCGGCCGGGATTTACAAAACTGTAGCTTAGCACGCTGTGTGAACTCACACCACTGCTTGTGATGTGCAGAAACTATACGGGTAGCCCTCAACTTACAAGTTTGTTTAGTGACTGTTCGAAGATACAGCAGCACTGGAAAAAGTGGCTTACAGCTGTTCTTCCCTCTTAACAACTGTGGCAGCATCCACCACGGTCGTATGGTCGAAATTCAGTCGCTTGGCAACTGACTTATATTTATGACGGTCGCAGCGTCCCCAGGGTCAAGCGATCACTATTTGCGATGCGACAAGCCAAAGTCAATGGGAAAGCCAGATTCACTTTACAGCGGTGTTAGTAACTGAACTAAACTGCAGTGATTCACTTAACAGTGGCAAGCAAGGTCATAAAATGGGAGTGGCGAAATGAACTGTCCCGCTTGAGCACAAAAATGTTGAGTTCAATCGTGAGTTGTTATTAATGCACTCAGGTGAGCAATTGGTTGAAATCTTCATTTAACAACCTGCCATTTTTCCTGCTCCATAAAATATCCAGGAATCATGATTTCCGAAAGCGGCTCCTTCGTGAAGGGCATGGTGCTCGGAGGGATTTGCTGCGCCTTGGTGACCCTTCTGGGACATATTAAAACGGGTCACACTACGAAATCTCATGAGCACCGACACCTGCAAGCGCCCAGGAAAGAGGACATCCTCAGCCTCTCGGAAGAGAAGCGCCTGGAACTGACCCAGAGCCTCCGCGTCTACTGCATCATCCTGGTCAAACCCAAGGACCTGGGACACTGGGCCGCGGTGAAAGAAACCTGGAGCAAACACTGCGACGGGGCCGAGTTCTACAGCTCCGAGAATGTCAAAGTCTTCGACTCCATCGTGCTGAACACCGATGACACGTGGACGATGATGCGCAAGGCCTACGCCTACGCTTACGAGAATTACCGAGACGGTTACAACTGGTTTTTCCTCGCCTACCCCAGCACCTTTGCCATTATCGAAAACCTCAAGTACTTCTTGTTGAAGCAGGACGCCGCCCAGCCGTTCTACACAGGCCAGACCCAATCCTCGGGGGATCTGCAGTACGTGAACGGGGCGGGCGGGATCGTCTTGAGCGTGGAGTCCTTGCGGCGGCTCTACAGGATTTTTCAGGATCCGGATAAGTGCCCTGAGCACGGGGGCGTGATTTGGAAGCTTTCTGAGGATAAACAGTTAGCCTTGTGCTTAAAGTACGGCGGGGTGCAGGCCGAGAACGCGGAAGACTCTGAGAAGAAGGACATCTTCAACACCAAGTCGGTGGGCACCCTCATCAAGGAGGCCATGGCTAAGCACCCCCAGGAGGTGGTGGAAGGCTGCTGTTCGGATATGGCCATTACATTCAGTGGCCTGTCGCCAAATCACATGCACGTCATGATGTACGGTGTCTACAGGCTCAGAGCATACGGCCACACTTTCAGCGATGCCTTAGCCTTCCTCCCTCCCCCAGACTCCGATAATGACTGAAGAGGGCGGCGGGAAAGCGGAAACCCACCACACACATGTACTGTCCCTCGGCAAGCAGCATGTATTCAGGACTGTTCCAAATTTGCATTTTATTAGTATCTGTGTTAGCTCTCTCTCTCTCTCTTTTGGCACAATCTGGTTTTGTAATCTTTGCAAAGGGGGAGGGAGGGGGGTCCCCTTTTTAAAACCAACAAGCCCTTTTATACACCTGTGAATGTCACCTGGAGGACGGAGGGGGGGGGAGAAAACCACTTCGAAGATTTCTTTCGTTGACGCCTGCATAGCGGGTTATGTAAATATTTAAAAATCAAGATGAATCTACTATAAATTAAATCTATTTTTCCAATTGGGGGGTGTCCTGCATCTTCTTTAGCACAGTGCTGCACACCGCTTGCCCCCTCCCGAGAAAGGGAAGGGGCAACTTTTTATCCTAAATCTCGGCTTCCAATCGCAAAAGCCACCTCGCCTTTTGCTTTGTTCTAAAAATCAGCCGAAATGTATTTATTTGAAGAAAGCCAACAGGACTTCAGCATTCACTTGGATTTATTTAGCATAGCCACAGAACAAAATAAATTTGTACATTCAGGTACACATTTAAAAACAGAATTACAGAGTAGTCCACGCTGGCAAGAAGCATGCCGCATACTTCCCGCTGATTTCACTTGTAGGTCTTCATATGCCAGAGGCCGTCATTTAAATAGTGAATATTTTCAATGCCGATCCCTTTGTTGACTTTCTCTCTGGAGAGGTGGAAAAGACAAGGAAAGATCAGTTTTTCCCGCTCTGGATAAAAAGGTTCTTAAAGTGTAAATGGGCAGAAACTGCTTCCCAAATCGGATCTATTTATAAGCAAGCAGCTGAAAGCCTGCTGATCTTGAAGTTAGAAAAATCTTAGGGTTATTTTCAGCCTTTTTAAAAATAGATGTGCAAGTAGAAAAAGAGAAAAAGTTTAATAATGGCCTCTAGCCATGCCTTATCTCAGGGGTCTTCAAACTTGGCCCTTTTATGACTTGTGGACTTCAACTTCCAGAATTCCTCAGCCAGCGTGCCATGCTGGCTGAAGAATTCTGGGAGTTGAAGTCCACAAGTCATAAAAGGGCCAAGTCTGAAGACTCCTGCCAGAACTCTTGCGCTTTATTAACAGTTCACAAAGGCAGGAAAAAAGGATCAACAAGCATCAAGTCTACACACCTCTCAAGATCACTGGGCCCCAAGTTCAAGAAATTATCGGGGGGATTAAATATGTTCTTAAGAAGGAAGTTGGAATAAAAATACATCTACTAGGGCCGGTCCTTATAACAATAACTTTTTTTTTCTGGACTGCAGGCCAACCTGGACTTATAGACCCTTACTTGTTACCCCAATTGAACTGTTTTGGAAAACACGCCGTCTGCAAAAAGGGGTAGACGGTTTAAAAGAAGTCTTGCAATATTGACTGCTAATTGGATCTAGGAGAACGAAGTTGGTGAAGAATAGGATTTTCTTTTCAAAAGTAAGACTCACATATCATCTGCTGCCATCTTCATGACTCCGACACATAGTGCATGCTGTTTTCCTTCTGCCATTATTGCCTGTAACGGTCTGCTAAGGAAAATATCTTGTAGGTAGTACAACAAATCATGACAACAGCGGTAAGTAAGCTTCTAATGGGAAGAAACGGCCTTAAAAATTAAAGTATAGCAAGCTAAAGAAATCACATTTTATTCACTGAATCTCATTTGGGTATTTTCATTAAACAAAAAAACTCCAAACGTGCCATATTAGTGCTTAACACGTAAGATATGTTTGAGGTTTTTTTTGCTTAATAAAATATCTGAATGAGAATCTGTGAATTAAGAGACTTCTCACATATGTAACATGTGTTTATTGGTCTTTAGGATAGCTGATCAGCAAGAGCTCTGCTCCCCCCCCATAAGTACTTAGTTTGGGCATTACAGTATTAATCCACCGCTGTCAACTAATGAGCAATTACCTATTCTGAAAAAGCGATCACCAAATTGAACAATACACTCTTTTAACTATTCAGCGAAGCTAAGGAACTGTTGAAAGACAAAGCGGACTGCTACAAAAAAGGTCACAAACCCTTGTGACCAGTTTGCCTATGTTATGATAAACCAATTTATATTCATAATTCTCAGTGAATTTAGAGAGAGATCCAGCAACTACAAAATTGAAGTTTCCAAATGTCTCCTTGAAGTCAAAGCCCTTCAGATAATTATTTTAAACACAACTGCACATTTTAGCAATAGTTAAGAAGACTCTTGATAGTTTTTTGATTCCTTATTTCCAGGTTGATAATCCATCAGATTAATGATCCCAGCTACTTTCAAGTTCTATTGTGTTCTGAGAAAGCAATTGCAACCCACAGATGATGCCTATCCAAGGATACCACAATCGTATCAGCAGCGGCAGGATAAAGCTTTGCTCCTGGAGACGTCAGGCCAGGACACATTATATTTGCTCCACTGAGTACAAATTTAATGGCTCCTTTATCAACTTGTTGATGTGGTAGAATGAATGGATCTACGGAGTGGAAAAAGGTTAACAAGAGGAGATAAAACAGCAACCGGGTTGAATCAGGACATCTAAAACACTGTTCCTTTAGCTGACACAAGCAGGACACTCCTTTCCAGAAATATGAAGTGGAAAAAGAAAAATTAAATCCCTCATACGCTTCTCTAATCTTTCACACAGGCTTTCAAAACACAATGCTACAAAGCTTCCTTCCAAATGGTGCTCTGTTAGGGAGATACTTAAGCCACTTAAAAAAATAACCAGCATATCCTGAAGTAATCCAAATCTAGCTATAAGCTTTTCAGTTTGATTCTTTTTTTTCCCCAAAGATCTTGGGGAATAACTGGATTAATAAATCCAGCTTCCCAAAAGCAGGCCTTGCCCTCCCCTCCTCAATCCATCCACTCAAAAAGAACAGCCCATTTTGAAACAAAGGAGAATAATTCCAGGAAAAGAATTCCTAGCTGAATATTACCCCGGAGAAATTCGTGCTAAAAAGCCTCTTTCTTAAGCCTGTCAAGACAGAACATCATAAACCATGGTCTAGAATTTGGAATGGAATTAAGAGAGATTCAGAATGCCTTGGTATTAAACTGTAGGGGGGGGGGAGAGAGAATTATACTTTTTTCTTTGCTCAATTTAAAATCTTTTCATTTTGCTCCAATGGTAGTTGCCGATTTTGAATGTCTTAATTTTTAAACATACGTTATTATAGTGGCGTAGAAAAACAGATAATTTGTCGGTCCTGTGTGTGTATCAAACACAAGGAATGAGCTACTTACAACAGAATAAAAGAGCCAAAGAAAAGGAAACAGGAATAGACCAGCAGCATAGACACAAAAAAAAGTCTTCAAGTGAATCCTGCTCTTCTAAATCAGAAAGTTTTCACATGCATACACACGTACGCCATTGCATTTGAGAGGAAAAAAACTGGAAAAGGGGTTAATAAAATTTGGAGGAAGGGAAAGCACACAAATTCAGAATGGAATGAACCGAAAATAACGAAGAAAAGGTCATAGGCAGAAGAGCATGAAAAAAAATCAGAAAATTCAGGTTGAAATAGGAAAAAAGTCAAGATTACACAATGGAAAGAGATAAACTGCAGAGAGAGAACGAAAGAAAAGCCTGCAAAGAACATGCAAACATATTATGCATTTTCTATACTACACAGGCTGTCCAGTTCTGCTTTCCAACTAAACGCCTGTAAATTTCTTTTCAGCATACCAATTTAAAAGTCTCAAAGTTGTCAATCCTTTGATTTCTCTCAAACCATAACCATTTTTCCTCCAAAATACTTACATTTGTGTAGTAACCTCAGAGTGGGATAAAAGGGTCCGTCCCTTTGTCTGAAGAACAGCAGTTCGCCATTTACGGTGAGAATTTCTATATGTTCATGACTGAAACGTACAAAATTAACACGGGTGACTTTTTTAAAATAAAGAGAAGCCTTTCAAAGACCATTTTAGAATGCTCACGAAAGAGCAAAGTTTACGTTTTTCAAATTGCGCGCTGAATAATCTGTAAGCCGCCCAGAGTCACCCCACAGAGGAAAACGGCGGACTAAAAATGTAATGAACAAAATAAGGAACAAAATAACTTTGCACGGTGAATGTTTCCATTAAAAATGACTATCCTGGTAGCCTCCAATTCGGAAAATATCTTGTAAACATTCCAGCCTTTGTTTTCACTTTGACCAGTACAATTTCAATCCGGCAACCTATTTCTCACACCTAAAAATTAACAATACAAAGAGGAAGCCAACGGAAAGGAAAAACTCACCATCGTACTATCTTAACGGGGTCTTTCTTTGGCATAATTTGGTTTAGCCATGGTTCAATACCCGGGAATTGATCTATCAGTTGGTTCTTAATGCCTTTAATAACCGATGTTTTCAACTGGATGCAGTTCGATACATTCTCTTTTTCATCAAATCTGACAAATGAATTATATAATGTTACTTCTCCATCCACTTACAATGCGGTTATGCATGCATTTCTTTGCCCAACAAAACTGCAGTGAATAGCCCAGATTAGGAAGCAACGCGGAATTATTTGAAAGCATTAAAAAAATAGAACCAAGAAACATACACATGCATACCCACCCCCCGCCCTTCAACCAGCTTTTAGGAACCTGCACCAGCCAAGAAGTTGGATGATGTAAAAAATTAATATATTAATATATCAATATTTGAAGAGCTGTCACAGAAAAGAGGGTTTACTTTGTTATCCAAAGCACCTGCAAGAACAAGAAGCAATGGGCGAAAACTTGTCAAAGGGAGACCCTACCAGAAACTAAGGCAGAATTTCCCGACAGTAAGAACAATGAATCAGTGGAATCGTTTGCATCTTGAAATTGTAGGTGCTCCAACACTGGAGGTTTTTAAGAAGAGATCGGACAACCATTTGCCCAGGGTGGCATAAAGACTCCTGCCTTGGGCAAGGGGGCTGGACTAGAAGACCCCCAAGGTCCCTTCTGGCCTTCTGATCCTAGTTCTATTTTGACTGCACAGATATTGTATCTCAGGATGAATCTGAGAGTTAGGATGAAATTTGATGAGGGTGGGGGTGCTTTGGGCAAGGGGGTTGGCCTAGATGACCCCCCAAGGTCCCTTCCAGCCTTGTCATCCTACTTCTAAGTCTGATTGCATTGATATTGTATCTCAGGATGAATCTTGAGTTAGGGTGAAATTTACTGATCGTGTGAGGGGTGTGATTTGGGCAAGGGGGTTGGCTTAGATGACCTCCAAGGTCCCTTCCAGCCTTGTCATCCTACTTCTAAGTCTGATTACACTGATATTGTATCTCAGGATGAATCCGAGTTAGGGTGAAATTTAGGGATGGGGGGGCAAATAGTGGGCAAGGGGGTTGGCCTAGATGACCTCCAAGGTCCCTTCCAACCTTATGATTCTAGTGCTATTTTGATTGCCCGGCTATTGTATGAATCCGAGGATGGATTTTAGCGGTAGCGGGTGGGAGGGTTGTTTTGGCGGGGCGGGGCGGGGCTGGACTAGACGACCTCCAGGGTCTCTCCCCGCCCTGTGGCGATGCTTGGCCCGCACAAACGGGCGGAGGTCTTCGCCTGGCTTTGCCATCCCTGCCCCCCGATCCCGCCCCCCGATCCCCGATGAGGAGGATTCCAGGCCGCCTATTAGCCGCAGTCATCGCAGCCTCCAACGAGACCTCGAAGGGGATCGGGCCTCGATGATGGGAGTTGTAGTCGCCCCCACCCACCCACCCACGCCGCGTCCCGGCCCTGCTCCTCGGCGGCCCTCGCCACTCACTTCTTGAACATCCTGGGCTGACGGGCGCTGCTCCCCGCGAGGCCGGGCGGAGCGAGGGCTGGGCCGGGTGGGGACGGGCACCCCGGGCTCCCGCGTCGTCCCTCCTGGCACGCTCACGCAAGGCCTCTCCGGCCCTTCCTTCTCGTCTGCCCTCGCCGGAAAGGGAACGCGGGGGCGCTTTACGGTCGTCGCAAAGCGCCGGCGTCGAGGAGCGAAGAAGGCAGCGCCCCAGCTCCCGAAGGGTGAGCCCGGGTTTCCTCGAAAACTACCGTTCCCGGCAGGCTGCGCGCCACGGAACGGGGGTGAGCGGGCGCTTGGAGCAGGTACGGCCGTTACCATGGAGACGCATCGAGGGTGGCCTAGGCTGCCTGGCTCTACTTAAAGGGACCGCTACGATTAAAAAGAAAAAAAAAAAACCACGGAGAAATAAATACAGGTCGTCCTCGATTTACGACAGTTCGCTTAGTGATCATTGAAAGTGACAGCGGCGCTGAAAAAAAATGACTTAGGACCGTTTTTCACACGGCCATTGCAAGCATCCTCATGGTCAAGCAATCAAAATTCAAGACACTTGGCAACTGACTCATATTTATGACGCTTTCTGTATCCCGGAGCCATGTGATCTGTTTTTCAACCTTCTGACAAGCCAGGTCAATGGGGAAGCCAGATTCACTTAAGGACCCTGTTACTAACTTTACAGCTGCAGTGATTCACTTAACAACTGTGGCAAGAAAGGTCGTAAAATGGGGCAAGACGCATTTAACAAATGTCTCACTCAGCAACAAAAATGTGGGGCTCTCTTGTGATCGTAACCAAGGTCTATCTGTTTATCAGACTTTAATATTCCCAGCATGTCCCTGTGATTTATAGGTCAATCTTGTTTTTTGCCTTGATCCCAATGTTCCTTTTTAGGGGCATCCAATGCAAAGTGCATCCAATATGTCAACTGCAGCTTTGATTATCAGTGTTTCTCAATCTTAGCAATTTCTTGAAATGTATTTATTTGGTCAATGACCTTAGTGACTCCAAGATATGTGGACTTTAGCTGCCAGAATTCCCCAGCCAGCATGTTTATTCTGGGATCTTTGGTTAAACCGTGGCTTAATGCACTGCTATTTTAGTTGGTATCTATGGTACTAGTTGCTATTTGCTTCCAATCTCCAAGTTTTCATGTCTAAATAGGTTGGGACCTGGTTACCTAGGGACAGAGGCACTGGCTTTAGCCCTGGAATCAGCCATAAAGATCTTTATTTCCCATTTCATTAGGTTAGTAGAGGAGGCAAAGTTGGTTAACCTTAGAATCTGATTTATCTATATCTCACCTTTCTTACTTTGATGAATGTCAGTAATATGAATAAAAAATATTCAAAGTTGAATCTGAATTTTTTATTTTTAAAGTAACGCTTTTGATATATTGGTTCCAGAAACTTCAAAACGAACACAGATGAAAATATACCAGCTAGTATATTAAAAAATAAGATAAAATTAGAAAAAAAAATAAGAAAAACTGAAATCAAAATACTTATCCTTTTATGATATAAAGAACATGAAATACAGAGAGTACTTCAGTATACAGAATAACTTGAAAAGTGGAGTTTTTAATTTATACCCAAGAACACCAAGAAAGGGCAAGTTAATCATTCACCTTATTAAAAAATTAAAGAACAAAAAGTCTCTTAAGAGTATCGGGAAACTGATGTCAGTTTGTGAAAATTGAAGCCATCATATTTTTACCAACATGAAATTAAAAAATAGTCAAAAAGACCATTCTTCAAAAACCCTAAAAATTAGGTCATTGATATTAAACTTCCCTTAAAAAAAACAACAACCAGGAAGTATCCAGAGATTCATTTTAAGTGTGAATTTTAAACTCTGCACAACGCACAAATCAGGAATCGAGCATAAATCCTGGCACCAAGAACCCATCTATTATTAATTATTATTTATTATTAGTGTTGTTATTATTTTTATTGCTATTGTTTCCTGTTCCTGCAAATGGAGTTTGCTCAAGACGTTGAGTTTCAAACGAGCTGGAAATGGGGAGGGGAAAGCATCCAGTTGCGGCAGCCTCTCGGCCGGGGCGCCGACCTCACCGCCCGCCCCTTCCTCCTCGCTTCCGAAAGGCAGAGCCAGGCGCCGGCCCCGGGCGAAGGAAGGGAGGGAGGGAGGAAGGAGACAGGCAAGCGCGACCCCGACGGGCAAACCCACGAGAGCCGGGAGGCGGGGACCAAAGCCTTCCCCTGCCCGTTGCTTCAGTTTCTTCCTGGATGGGGAAGAAAAGGGGGGACGGGCCCGCCTTTTCAACCCCGCCGCGAAGGAAGGAAGGAAGGAAAGAAGGGCTGGCCCCGCCGGCCGCTCTCCCACCCCGCTTCCGCTTTTCGTCACGTGGGAGGCCCCCCAACTAAGGAAGCCGACGAGGCTCAATCCCGAGGGGTTAGCCCCCCCCCTTTCTCCCCGGCATCTGGATTACGCCGAGGGAAAGGAAGCCGAGGAGGCACCGCTACGAGAGCCGGCGAGGCCCCGGGTCGCCCCGCCGAGCGAGAACGCGGCCGCCCGGCTCCCCCTCGGCGTCAGGAGCGCTCCCGGCAGCCGGCCAAGCCAGCCCGTCGGCCCGCGAGCGCGGCGCGCCATGGCCGGGCGCTCCAGGCACCCGCCGCTCCAGCAGCCGCCCGGCGACACAATCACTTCCGGTAGGGCAGAGGGCAGAGGGGAAGCGGGCGCCAGGGAGCGGGGTGAGGCGGGGGAGGGAGGCCGGGGCGGGCCGGAGGGCGGGAAAAGGGAAGGGGCGACGAGCCGAACCCCGGTTCCCCGCGGCTCCCCGCCGGCTTCCTCCCCCACCCCGAGCGCGTCGCGAGAGGCGCCGCGGCGTCTTTGGCCAGCCTGCCGGCGGCGCTTCCGGACGGGCGGCCTCCCGGCATGCCAAGCGGCCGGATGTGCCGCCATCTTTAGGCCCCCTGCTTTCTCCGTTCCAGTATTGACAATAACAAGCGGCGGTCCTCGCCCGGCGGCCCTCCTTCCCCTCTGCGGGCCGCGAAAAAGGCGGGCGGAGGAAGGGAGCTCGACCCTCGCCCCCCGCTCCCCGAGGCCGGGCGGCAGAGAGAGAGAGAAGGAGAGGAGGGGGCGGCCCCCGGGCGGGAGAGACCGAGAGGACCCTCTCCCCCCCCCCACTTCTGCCCGTTGAGGAAGGGGCAGAGTGGCCGAGCCAGGCCTCGCGGAGTCGGGGGCGGGGTAGTGAAGCGGGGCCCGGCCCGTTCGGCACCGCCGCGACAGGGAAGCTGCCCCGAGAGGCGAAGGGGAGACGCTTCCACCCCCCACCCCCACCCCCAGAAGGAAAAGCGGGGAAGGAGGCCTCGCCCGTCCCTTTGCCCCCCCCCGACCACCAGGCCGCGACCTTCCGTGACCAGCTCTGCGCCCGCCCCTCTCTGCGTGTCCGTCACACCAGGAGGATTTGATGCCCTTCAGCCTGCTCACCTCTGTGGTGTTCATGTTTCCCACAGGTTTCTCTTCCCCCAACCCCCCAGCAGCAGCAGCGGCGGCGGCTCAGGAGGTCAGACCTGCCACGGATGGTAGCAGCAGCTCCTCCACCACCACCACCACCACCAAGAAGAGAAAGCTAAATAGTAATAGCAACAGTAGTGAGAGAGAAGACGTGGACTCCATCTCCTCCTGTTCGTCCCTTCTTTCGAGAAACAGCAGCTCGTCCTTGCCCGCTCTCATTATCACGGCCTCCACGGCCTCCTGTTCTTCCTCCTCCACCTCCTCCTCAGGGGTTGCTTCTTCCAACCATCACCTGCAGAAGAAGCTGCGTTTCGAGGACTCCTTGGATTTTATCGGACTGGATGTGAAGATGGCGGAGGAGTCTTCCTCTTCGTCTTCCTCGTCGCCGGCTGCCTCTTCGCAGCAGCACCAGCAGCTCAAAAACAAAAGCCTCTTAATCTCCTCAGTAGCTGTGGGACACCACGCCAATGGCCTGACCAAAGCTGCCTCCTCCACTGTCTCCAGTTTTGCGAACAGTAAACCTGGGTCAGCCAAGAAGTTAGTGATCAAGAACTTTAAAGGTAACCAGCTGCTGTCATTCCTAATCTCTTAACGTCTATATCTGAAGGGGAAACGGCAGCATAAGGCACATTTTCACTGTAGCCCCTGGCACAGGATTTATTCCTCTACAGCTTTATTCCCAAGTGTAGCAGGTTTTCTGCCTACGTGCAAAACCAACTAGCTTTCTTATAAGAAAGGAAGACATCTTCAGAGCTATAATTAACCGTTATTTGGGGAAAGATGCTTTCTTACTTGTATTGTAGCCCTTTTGTTGAACAGTAGTCAATGGGAACCGCTGAGGAAGGAACTAGTCTCCCTTCATTTGTACATCCTGTATAGGATGGAGTTGGAGAGTACGGCAAAATCTCATTAAAAGAGACAGATGAATATAAGTATTTAAAATATAAGTATATATTAATGGCAACTTGAAGAAACTGCTTTGCTTACTTAGATAGACACAAATGTTTATATAGGTAAGTGGATATTGTCTTGCATGCTTTGTCAAATTCAGATATATGAATCTATGCAGTAGATTTTTAGTTTGTATTAGAGCAGAATAGTACAAAATGAGATACTGTGTTTTCCCTTTCTACAATCAGTAGAAATTATTTTTTATTACTATGATTCATCACACAGTCAGGCAGATGATCAGACTGTTTTTGACATTTTTATCTACCTTAGAAACTGGGATAAGCAGATGGGGTTGTTTAATAATATTAAAGGTATCGTCACAGGATGTAAGCTGTTTTCTGAATAAAGCTGCCTTTTGCAATTGACTGGTGGTGATTTTGTCAATGCTGATGTTCAAGTGGTGCTCCAGTTGTTTTGGGATTACATCCAAGGGGCCTATTACTTTTGATATTACCTTTGCTTTCTTTTGTCACAGTCATCTGTTTTCATTTGCAGATCTTTGTATTTTGTTCTCTTCTGTATTATTATGTGCTTTTGAGTCACATTTTGATTCTTGGTCACTGTCTGGACCAGTTCCAGTTTCTGCAATTTTCTTGGTAAGGTTTTTCAGAATTAGTTTGCCAGTGACTGGCCGAGGGTCATCCAGCTGGCTTTGTGCCTAAATAGTCCTCCAAACCAGTGGAGAAAGAAAGAGAATTCTTTAAATGTTCTTCAGCAATTTGCCCCAATTGATCTGAAAAATCTTCTAGAATTGATCAAGAGTGGAGAAGATTTGATGTTCATTTGAAACTAGATTATCCTGGCATAATTTTGAAATAATGGATAAAGTAACAAGTGGATATTCTGATCCGCTAAGGTTGAGACAAATACCTTTAGATTTCTTTGGCTGTGAAGTTGAAAAGTGTTAGGGTATTTAACACTATACATAATCTAGGGGAAAATCATACATTTGTAAGAGATTTAAACATGGTTTTCTTAATCAAAAGATACTGTATTGTACATTGTGTGGAATAAATTGACATTTTAAATATGTTTTTCATACATTGTATTACTTCCTGCCTGTATAGTTTCTGGTTCTAAGAAGAATTAAAGCTATGTCTGTTTTGTAAGTTTGTTTCAGGCAATAAATGCATCATTTATTGTATTGGCTGTCTCTGTTAAATAACTTTTGTATATTAACAAATTACTCAGACATGCCTTAGTTTTATAGAAGAAATACAGTGATTTTTTTTAAAACATTGAGCTATGTAGAGCAATTTCTGCCTTTGTATATTTCCTTGTTTTCACCTGATAATGATAATTTTAATTTATAATTCATTACATACAATAGATCAATATTATGCTGACAGTTTGCTTGTTTCTTTTTTATTTACGTAATCTAAATTAAAATTATACATCATGTAGGTCTATTATTGGAAGTCAAGATAATCAGCTGTCCCTAGTTGATTTTCTCTATTTTAAGCTGGTACAAAATAACAAGCAAGAAAAACTTGTGATTTTGAAGCTGAACAGATTAGATACTTAATTTCAGGCATTCTGAAATTGATCTGAGACATTGTGACAAGAGATATAAAAAAGAAATATCTTAGTAGATAACGTCCATCTTCAGTTTGCATTTTAAAAAAAAACTGAATCAGAATAAGTATTCTGTACTGATATACTGATGCATCCTCACTAAGAAACCTTACTGACTTGTTCATTGGTCTGAAATATTTGAGTTTTTACCAGGGGCCAAATCATCAAAATCACCTCTCTTGCTCACAAAGCAAAAATTGGTACTCTACATCACTTTTTTTTTTTTACTTCTACGTATAAAAACTCTTTCTTTCTGGTTTATGAGGTTGTCCAAAAGAAATTATTGAAGTTACTGTTGGAAGCATTACCGTAGGCTTTACAAGTGCTACACCAAATCAATTTCTGTGATTTTTAAATGATAACATTTGTTGTAAAGAATTCTGTCTTCTTTCAGATAAACCTAAACTGCCTGAAAATTATACAGATGAAACCTGGCAAAAACTGAAAGAAGCTGTAGAAGCAATTCAGAATAGTACTTCGATCAAGTACAACTTAGAAGAGCTTTACCAGGTAAGCATTCGTGTATGTACTTTCAATTCATGAGCGGACCTTGCAAAAATTCAAAGGATTTTCTCCACTTTCTAGGATGTGGTTGAGATCCCATATTCACTTTCTAGATGAGATGCAGTCGCAGTTAGACAAATGAGAAAATTAACAAGGACATCTTCAGAATTTGTTATGAGCTGATCTTCATGTTTTCTCCCTGTAGAAATTCTACAATATAAAGTTGTTTTTGTGAATTGTTCCTGTTTGACTTTCTGTGTGCCATTTTTGGGAATGCTGTCCTGGCCTGGGCCACAACTGCCTTGATAGATACAGGACAGAATTCCTTATTTGGGGATGATTGAAGACCCCTTCTGGGTAATGCTGGTTTGATTTAGTTACTTTCCAGTTTGTGCCATTTTTTTGTTCTTTGTTTTCATCATGTTATTCTTTTATTCTGTGTGTTTTTAATCTGTGAAGCACCCAGATTCTAGGGAATTGGGTGGTGTGAAATTTTAATAAATAAAACCCACCAGTAAAAGTTCCATTATCAACTACTTCCAAACAAATCAAACACGTGCATTCCTTTCATTGAAAAAAAGCCAGAAAATGCCCAACAGAATCTCCAAAGGGATATTTTCCTACAAAAATTAAGCCTTTTTGACTACTGATTTGAAAATCAGAGAACAACGCTATAATATTTCAAGCTCTGCCCTTAGTGCATATCTGGTATGTTACTTTGATAAGTACTTTGATAAATACTAGAACAAAAAAAATAGTTTTGTTATAAAAAGTGCTGGTTTATTATATAAATATTTAAATTCTGTACAGTTAAAAATACTAAGACATTGATATGTAGTTTACTATCATAATGTTTAATGTTCACAGTAATAAATATTCTATTACCTGAAAAAAATTCACAATCCTCTATTTTAAAAACTTAAACTGCTTAAGTATTTAATTATAGATACATTTCATGGATATTTTAACAACTTCATTCTCTGTTCTTCTTGGTTTAAATATCATATCTTTTTTCCATGTGTTGATTTTACTGATCGCACTGATTTAAAGTTCTGGATTAATATTATGAAGAAAAATGCTACATCTGGTTAGATATTTTAGTTTAGATCTACTTGTTAAATTGAGAATTAAATTAGCTAATGAAGATTTGGTAAATCTGTGGAATTTAGTAGCAGTATGGCAAGCCTTATTGATATATCCTAAAGAATCTCTTTGCAGTTGGTTTAACATACTTTAAAATCCACTAAGACTTTGTTTAAGACTTCATAATATGATTATGCGTGTTTCTATAAATCTCCCTCAATCGCGGTCTGTTTATATCTTCCCTTTTAGTTTTACCTTCCAATGGTATCAGGTGCAGATTTTGGGTGTTATTTGGCAGGACATTAACAGCACGCTTACAACCCACCCGGAATATTGTGTAACTGGGATTTTAGATCTTGAAAACTACTATTTATTTCAAATAGATGTGTTATTTCCTTAGGCCAGAAATATCTGATTTTTATACAAAGCACGACTATTAAAAAAGGATTACATCGGAGGGTTTTTAAGTTGAATAGGTTAGAATTAAAAACAAAAGTGATCAAAATTTTATAAGACCATCAGCATTGTCATTTAAAATGGTATGAACCTTGTGCTTACTGTCGCCTGATCTAAATGCAGAAAAATACAGCTTGCTAGCATCCATTTTGTGAACCTCACAACAATCCCCAGATGTGTGTTGAACCAAAATTGGACCAGTTTATGGGATTATGGATTAAAAATGTGGACCTTGCAGATACATAAGACATCTTTTTCACAGCTAAGTTTTCTAGAGAAAGCCAGTTTACACACCGGATTTGAAAGTGCAACCTTTGACAAGCCATGTGATGCTGGGATAGTCCTTGAGTCACTAGTCCTATTAAGGGAGGCATTCAGTTTATCAGGAAAAGCATCTTAACTATTCAAAGAATCTTTTAGCTTTTTGTCTAACCAAGGTGACTTACTGTATTTGAAAGAAATGAGAGAAACTACATTTGCTCTGTCACTGTTTTGTTCAGGTTCTGTGTCTGTGTGTGAGTGTCCACCATTACGTACATATATGTATATGTGGAATTCTGTCAAGGCCTTAGCAGACCCTCTGATTTAGTATATATTCAGAGCTATATTTTGGAAAGCAAAGCAGCTGCATTTTCTGTCGACATGATTTGTCTGGGTCTATTTTTAATACCTTGAGTTAAAAATAGTCATATGGTTGCTGGTAACTAAAGACTAAATAAAACCATTCTCCCTAAGACCAGCAGAACTGGTAAATGGATCTGCTTCTAATTATGCTTTTTTAAGTACCATTATCTAAGTCCTGGCAGGGTTTACATTCTCATTCTCTCTCTCTCTCTCTCTCTCTCTCTCTCTCTCTCTCTCTCTCTCTCTCTCTCTCTCTCTCTCTCTCTCTCTCTCCCCTTCTCCCTCTCCCCCCCCCCTCTCTCTCTCTTAACACATGTCAAAGTATTGAGACACACCTATTGTTTCTTGACCCCTTGCTTCCTCTGCTGGTAAACAAACATATGTAATGTGTTTATATGTAATTCTTCTGGTTTTTTTTTCTTTTTTTCCCTTGTTTTTTTTAGGCTGTTGAAAATCTTTGCTCCTACAAAATTTCTGCGAATTTGTACAAGCAACTAAGGCAGATATGTGAAGACCACATCAAAGCACAGATTCATCAATTCAGAGAATATCCTTTATAATAAATATTTCATACAAATGGAAAGCAAACTGGGGCTTTGTCAACCATTTTAGCAATCCTCGTGGGTTAAGAAATGTGGTACTTGTGGATTCTTTTGGCAGCTACAAAGTACCTTAAAATATTCCAGCAGGAGAGAAATGTATGTTACCTGCCAACTAATCGGTTTAATTATTAAACTGAATATAACACATTCTTCCTGGAACTTGCCACGTGTAGGTAGATACTCACATTTAAACATTTGGGAGCAGAATATTAAACTAATAGATAAACTCCCACTAAAGCGGTGTCAATGATGCATCCACTCTTTTTAAAAAAAATATTCTTAACTGCGTCCTCAAGGATTCATTGGACAGTGTTCTTTTTCTTAAGAAAATAGACAAATGTTGGCAAGACCACTGTAGACAGATGGTAAGTCTTCTTTGTTTGCTAAAAGTTTCTAAAAGCTTGGAACTAAAGATGGATATCTTCTGTGGCATTTGAAAACTTTCCCTGCAGGAACTGAGTCTATTTGAGACCGCACTGAAGGGTTAGATCAGGGTGGCAACTTTAAGAATGGCTGACTGTGGAATTGAAGTCTACAACTCTTAAAGCAGCTGAGGTTGGACACGGCTGGATTAGATGGCTCCTCAGAAAAAGAGGATTGAGCATTCATAACTAATCTTTTTTGTATTGTTTACTATGTCCAAAAAAAAAAAAAGGATTCCAGTAATTTATATTTAGGAACAGTTTGGAGGGAGTCATACTGCGGAGAATTTAAGAATTGGATTCAGGTTTATCTCAGCTGTCTCAGTTCTTAGTGAATAGCAGAAGCTTCTAGAAATATTTTTTTCTCAACAGGAAATGGGAGACCTGTTGAGAATACCTTTCACCCCCCCTGAAATATTTATCTGTGGAGTCATTAAAAAGATCTGTGCTGCTGTCCATAAATTCTTTGTGAAGTGTTTGACTTTTCACATTGGCGGTCAATAAGCACGGATATTTGGAAATAAATTCCCTTAAATTAAGTGGCTCTCCCTTCCAAATTAATGTATCTAGATGAAGGCGGTTAAATGATCTTACGTTCTATTCATCCAATAAATATAGACTTTAAAATTGGCCAACTTGTGATGGTTTTTTTTTCTTTCTTTCTCTCCTTTCTTACAGATAATGATTAGAAGTATCTTTTTGTTCCTGGATCGAACCTACGTTCTCCAAAATTCAATGCTGCCATCCATTTGGTGAGTGCGAAAAAAGTAGTATTGACTTCCCACTTCCGAACGCGTTGTTGAGCTATTGATTAGTAGCTTTTCTATCCTGGAGGAGTGATGGCATGTCCACAGTGAATAGAAAACCCTTAACAAAAGAAGAAAATGGGTTCCCTTTCCTTCGTGTATTTCCTCCTGCCGAGACCTTCACTAAAATGTGTGGGTTTGGGTTGTATTCAAAAGCCAGTTCAAATCAATAGCAAACTCTTCGATGTCATAATGAATGCGAGGCCGACATGAGGACTAGGATGTTACGTGGGTCTCACCTGTAATGTCTGAATTGGCTTACCGGCTTCCTCAAGTTTACACACCTTTGTGGTTACAAGCGACGCTGTATAAATCAGCACCTTCTGCCAAACCAATGACTTCTTCGTTTCAGGTCATCCTCCCGACCGCAAATGAGCTCAAAATTTCTATCACTAAACAAGACAGTTGTTAAGTGGGTTTTGCCCCATTTTTATGACCTTTCTTGCCACACTGGTTAAGTGAATCCCTGCATTTGTGAAGTTAGTATTCACAGTTGTTAAATGAATCTTCGCTTGTCAGAAAGTCGCAAAAGGAGATCACATGAACCCGGGAGACACTGCGACCGTCATAAATTTGAACCATTTGTCAAGCACCCGAATTTTGATCCCGTGATTCTTGGGGGTGCTGCAGTGGTTATAAGTAGTGTGAAAAATGGTCCTCGGTCATTTTTTCCAGGGATGTTGTAATTCTGAATGGGTCACTCAGCAAACTGTTGTAAGTCAAGAACCACCTGTAATTGGCTTAAATCATCACTTAGTAAAACCAGCGTACACAGCAACCGACTCTTTTTTTTGTTGTTGTTCTTTTTTCTTCCACGCTTTCAGGGATATGGGTCTCGAATTGTTTAGGACTCACATAATTAGCGACCAGAAGGTCCAGAACAAAACCATTGATGGCATCCTTCTCTTGATCGAGAGAGAAAGAAACGGCGAGGCTATCGACAGGAGTCTGCTTCGCAGCCTGCTAAGCATGCTTTCAGATTTGCAAGTAAGAGCCGTCCATTGTGGTAAATTTGCCTAAAAATTCATTGAGGCTGAGCATTCTGAAAGGAACAATCTGTTTCTGTTCCCCTCAGATTTATCAGGATTCTTTTGAGCATAGATTCTTGGAAGAAACCAACCGTCTCTACGCCGCAGAAGGACAGCGGCTTATGCAAGAAAGAGAGGTATTTTATTATTAACTCCGAAGCACCGGTTCTAATTCCTCCTTTTGTGAGCAGATGTCTTTCCCTCTTACCCACCTTTCCAAAGAAATCTCCCTTACCGTACGTTGCGATTTTTCTCCATAACTTACTCAATCTTCCAGGTCCCAGAATATCTCCATCATGTCAATAAACGCTTGGAAGAAGAAGCAGACAGGATTATAACTTACCTGGATCAAAGCACTCAGTAAGTGTTTGCCCTCTCTTGACCTGCTGTCTGAAAACCTGGCAGGACTTTTTTTTTTTCTACTTCAGCCGTTGCTTTTTGCTAGCCTGGGTTTATGAGCTTTGTTTTGGCCTTTACGTGTCTTATGGGGTCTCTTAGGCTCCTGGTGGCAAACCCTATTTATTTTTGCTTCTCTTCCCAGCCCTACAGCACCCTGCAATATCAGTAACCTTAATTATCAGGGGCTCCTTTGCATATGTTCTAAATGGAAAATTGTATTTGGAATTGACCTCTTGTTGTCAATTCTTTTATAAGAAATTATAGACGTCTACTTACAGAGCCTAAAGAACGGGAATAATGGCATACCCATTCAGTGGCTTTTTGTTTCAGGTCGTTTTCTGCCTACCTAAAGAAGGCGAGAAAGATAAAAGAGAATGCAAAATAGCTTTTTTAAAAATAAAATAAAATAGGATAAACCACAGTAATGTTGTTGGAAAATGTTAGTGCTTAAACTGTGACAATTCCTGGTGTTCGGATTAAATGAATAATTTGAATGGTATAGAGTCTCTTGCTTGAGCAGGGGGCTGGACTAGAAGACCTCCCTCCCAACTCTATTCTGATTAATTGGTTAATAATGGGCTTGTAATTCTAAATGCTTTTTTCCTGTAGGAAACCTCTAATCGCCACTGTAGAAAAACAGTTGCTAGGTGAACATTTAACATCCATTCTACAGAAAGGTAAATCCATCTATCTTTATAGAAATCTTTGTGTACTGCTTCTTCGGGGCTTTTGGTTCCCTGAGAGGGGTGGAAATGACCCAATCGGGCTGATTCTGACAAACCCACACACACCCGTTATCTCTGTATCCCATGACACTGTATTCCAGGGGGACCTCTGCAGGTCACATTCTCCTTATGGGAGGAAAGGAACCCAAAGAATGCCGTTGGTTATGCTTTGCAATACCGACTTGTGCTAAGAATAGCCGAGGGAAATATGGATGCAACTATTTCAAAAGGACAGCAGTGGCTGGATCAGACTCAACTGCCAGCCCTAGGGTTTTTAAAGCACAATGTTGGAGGGCAGAGGAAATGTGGAAAGCTGGCAGGTGACAACATTCCACTTTTTCCCTTTAAAACTTGTGAATTGTGCTCCATAAAACAAAAGATTGTGTTAAGGGGAAATCTTAAGAATGGGGGCTGGGGGGGGCACTCAGGATCTTTATTTGCAGCTCTAGACCAGTGGTTCTCAACCTGTGGGTCGGGACCCCACGGGGGTCGCCAGACAACGCAGTCCGCCATTTTTTTCCCCCTTTTCCTTAGCTGTGCTACTCCCTTTTATTCTATTGGCTTTTGAAAGCCAATAGAATAGACTCTCTTGAATAGAGTCTAATTCTATTGGCCTTCAAAAGCCAATAGGAATTGTCCAGGCTGTCTCTGCCCTGCTGAGCCCGCCAAAAGTCCCATTCTGCAAACGGTGCTGCACCAGTTGAGTAGTCCCCGACTTACGACCGGTTGAGTAGTCCTCGACTTACGACCGGTTGGCGGTCGCGGCATTAAAAAGGTTGAGAACCACTGCTCTAGACCCTCTATGCCAGGGGTCCCCAACCTTGGCAATTTTAAGACTTGTGGAATTCTGGGAATTGAAGTCCACAAGTCTTAACGTTGCCAAGGTTGGGGACCCCTGCTCTATGCAGGAACCACACAACCATGGTATTCTAAATCTTAAAATAGATTCAACACATTAAAAAAAAAGAATCTTATAATTCTGCCAAACTTTTAACAAAATGGAAAATCCTGATCTGTCTCAGGCAGATAACATGATCTTATCCATGTTATGCCATCGCCCTGCCCACTGCTTCACCCCAGACCCAAAATTTAAGAGTGGCTCTTTCCTAAAGAGTTGCTAATAGAGCAGTGGTTCTCAACCTTTTTAATGCCGCGACCTCCCCCAACCGGTCGTAAGTCGAGGACTACTCAACCGGTCGTAAGTCGAGGACTACTCAACTGGTGCAGCACCGTTTACAGACTGGGACTTTTGGCGGGCTCAGCAGGGCAGAGACAGCTTGGACAATTCCTATTGGCTTTTGAAAGCCAATAGAATTAGACTCTATTCAAGAGAGTCTATTCTATTGGCTTTCAAAAGCCAATAGAATAAAAGGGAGTAGCACAGCTAAGGAAAAGGGGGAAAAAATGGTGGACTGCGTTGTTTGGCGACCCCCGTGAAATGGTCGTTCGACCCCAAATGGGGTCCCGACCCACAGGTTGAGAACCACTGTAATAGAGGTTTATCAGACAACCCTAGCCAGCTTTTGCTGGAATCATGGTTGTTATTACAGATGGAAATCCTGTCAAGGGAACTCTTATGAAAATTCAGAAATGCTTCTGAAAGTAAAGTGGGTTATTTATTTTTTTTTAATCCTTCCTAACATTGTAGACTATTAAAAGTCTTGCATATCCTCTGTCTAACCACGTTGTTGCATTTTTTGGCTTTGGAAAAAAAATGTATTTTCTTGTTCTCACATTTCAAATTTAAATTTGAAATGTTTTGTCTCAGTCAGCCTGCATTAACTTAGAATCGTGTTACCTTAATTTTTGCAGGTTTAAATCATCTCCTGGATGAAAATCGAATTCAAGATTTGTCACTACTCTATCAGTTGTTTAGCAGGGTCAAAAATGGAGTGCAGGCTCTCTTGCAGCAGTGGATTGAATACATAAAGGTAATTGTGTCTGGCTAATTTTCTTAAATTAAGTTGTAGATTTGTTAAAATAAACGAAAATAATTGCATGGTAATGAATGTAGAGGTCAAAGAAACTTGCATATATATTTTTTCTCTCACATAGACACATAACTTGCATAAACCGTGGAATTTTGAAGTTGGTTGGTCTTTTGAAATAATCCAACTTGTATCGATTCCTCCAAGGAATTTGAAACTTCAGTGGGAAGGTTTTATCTTTGTTGAATCAATTGGATTTTGCTCCCAAATGGAGCATTTTCATGGCTTATGTTTTCAGAAAATCCTTCTTGTATTTGGGAAGCATTTCTACCCAAGTACAAAATGGTTCTCGAAAACAGCGTGACAAGGCTAGCATATAGCCATTCTAACTTGGTTTTGTTACTAATTTCCTTGGAATCCTCAGGGTTTTTTTATTATTAACTTGCTATCAATTATATTAAGAACAAATACCTTTTTTCATGTTACTTTAGGCATTTGGTAGCACCATTGTCATTAATCCCGAAAAAGACAAAACCATGGTCCAGGAGCTGCTAGATTTCAAGGATAAAGTGGATCACATCATCGACATCTGTTTTTTGAAAAACGAGAAGTTTGTCAACGCCATGAAAGAAGCTTTTGAAACGTTCATCAACAAACGACCCAATAAACCAGCTGAACTGATAGGTACAACAGCATCATTCCTCCAGGAGTTGCCAAATAGGATGTTAAAAGGGATTATAGCTCAAAATCCCTGAAGTTGTGTTCAGGGGTAGAGGATGTCCCAGTTTTGGTATTCAGCCTCTTGATGCCTTTGTCTTCAAAAAGAAATGTAAAAAAATACAGGTCGTCCTAGAGTAGAATAGAGCTGGAAGGGACCTTGGAAGTCTTCTAGTCCAGCCCCCTGCTCAAGTAGGAGAACCTATACCAGTGGTGGCGAACCTATGGCACGGGTGCCAGAAGCGGCACTCAGAGCCCTCTCTGTGGGCTCGCGCGCTGTTGCCCCAGTCCTAGGCCTTCAGCTGGGTTTATTAAAACTTTTTGCTTTAGGCCTCCACCACCGTGTACAAAAAAAAGGTTCAATCAATCAGTCAATTTCAACTTCTCGCAGGAAAAAAAAAGATCTTGCAAAGTTGGAATTGATTGAACTTTTTAGTCCCACCCAGTCTGCCGTTACCACCGCAGCCACGCCCACCTAATGGGCTACACCCACCCGGCACCCGACAGTGCATAAGTGGGTTTTGGATTGCAGTTTGGGCACTCAGTCGCTAAAAGGTTCGCCATCACTGATCTATACCATCTCAGACAGGTGATTGTCTAGTCTCTTCTTAAAAACTTCCAGTATTGGAGCATTCACCGCTTCTGGAGGCAGGTTGTTCCACTGGTTAATTCTCCTCCCTGTCAGGAAGTTTCTCCTTAATTCCAGGTTGCTTCTGTCCTTGATCAGTTTCCAACCATTGTTTCTCGTCCTTCCCTCTGGTGCTCTGGTGAATAATGTGACCCCCCCCTCCTTCTGGCAGCCCCTCAGATACTGCAATACTGCTGTCACGTCTCGACTTAACCACCACAATTGAGCCTAAGAGTTGTTGAGTGAATTTTGCCCCATTTTACGACCTTGCCCCAGTTGTGAATGGCCGCAGGTGTTAAAGTTAGTCACACGGCTGTTAAGTGAATCGGAGTCCCCCATTGACTTGTCAGAAGGTCACAAAAAGGAGATCACATGACCCCGGGACACGGCAGCCGTCATAAATGTGAATCAGTTGCCAAGGGTCTGAATTTTGATCCAGTGACCCTGGGGAGGCTGCAACGGTGGTAACCGAAAAGCGGTCCTAAGTCACTTTTTTTCCCCTTCCGTTGTAACTTTGAACGGTTGCTAAACGGACTGTTGTAAGTCAAGGACTTCCTGCAAGGGATTTCACTTAACGTTTGGGGAGCAGGACAAAAGCTTTCGTGAGCACTGAAATGATTGGATATGAGATGGGGGTCTCTTGTGCAAAACTGAAGGCCACTTTTCTCTGGTTTGGGGGGGAAAAAGAGATTGGAGGTGATGTTATAGTCCATTAAAACTTTTTGAGCACTGCAGTTGTTATATGTTTCCCTCTAAAGGGGCAGGAAACTGATGGTGTTTAGTAGTTACAGTTGGAGAGAACTTCAGGAGGAGAAAACGAAAAGAAATTTCAGGTTGCAGGTTGTACTCCCGGCTTCAACTACTCCTGGCCTAAGCCTAAAAGAATCGGGGTTAAGTAGGATAAATGATTGTCTGTTAGATGAACAAAGAGACTGTTCCCTATCTATGATCTCGAATAAATATTTCGATCCATTATTCAAATCTGCACCACTGGTGTGTTTTTTTCCCCCCTTCATCTCTAGCTAAATATGTGGATTCAAAACTTCGGGCGGGCAACAAAGAAGCTACTGATGAAGAGCTTGAAAAAATGCTGGATAAAATAATGATCATATTTAGATTCATCTATGGTAAGAGCTGGGCTTCGTTTGTCATATTGATCAGCCATTGTTTGATTGAGGTGTTGCATACAACATTGTACATATTAACGTCTTACCCGTAAATGATTTTTTTGTTTTTTAGTTTTAATCATAACATAACATCTGCAAAACAACCGCTTTAAACTTCATGTAAACCACTTTAGACTTGATTGTAATGATTTTTGTACGAGTTGTCAAAGTCTGGAATATCTTAACCGATTCAGTTCTCTCAGCTTCTAACTTTCACCGTTTTAATTCCAACTGAACTTCTGTGGACCTCGTCCCATATTTTAAGAGATTCCTAAGGGGACCTGCATAAGTGCACTAATTTGCCTATCGTCCCATCCCATTTTTGGTTTTTTTTTTTCAAATTTGTTCGTTCAAATTTGTAATTTTCATTGGACAAATTAAAAATAAAATAAAATGAGCTAATAAGCCCACCCTTCCCCATTTCTCAAAACAAATTGGGTTGGGGAAGTGCAAATTGGTGATACCCAGAAAAAAAGAAAAATCCAAAACCAACAAGTTGCTGATGCCTAGAGATCTATTACATGATAGCTTTAGACCAGGGATGTCCAGCATTGGCTACTTTAAGACCTGTGAACTTCAACTCTTGGAATTCTGGGAGTTGAAGTTCATAAGTCTTAAAAGTTGCCAAGGTTGGATATCTCTGCTTTAAACATGGGTCTAAACCAAGAGTGGAGAACCATGGCACTTTTATGACTTGTGGGCTTCAGGTTGAAGTCCACAAATCATAAAAGGGTCAAAGTTCCCCATCCTGATCTAAACTAACTTTCTGTTTCTACAGGAAAGGATGTTTTTGAGGCCTTTTACAAAAAAGATCTCGCCAAGCGACTCTTGGTAGGCAAAAGTGCATCTGTAGATGCTGAAAAATCCATGCTGTCAAAACTCAAACATGGTAAGGGTTTTTTTTTTAATGCATCTTCCACAAATGTTGCTTGTGTCACTTGTAACCTGACAATTTACCCATTTTAATATGGAGTCTTTCCCAATACAAAGTTAAACCTGTGTAAAAACCAAACAAAAAACAGAGCTGATGAAGCTTTTCTGCTTGCAAAAATGGGTACAGGCATTCATAAATTTTATTTCTTTTCTGGGGGTTTCATGTCTAATCCTGGCATGCTAATTACGTCACATTCTGCATCTTAAATCTAAGATTGAATCTCCTGAAGCTATTTTATAGCCTTCAATCAGACTCCTGTGCCGTTGGTTTTCCTAGCCTGTAACCAAAGCGCAGAATGAGTGAAATGGCTTACAAATCTATTGCAATGGTAGTTAAGTCTGAAAAAAATGGTCCTAGGTCACTTTTTTCAGTGCCGTTGTAACTTTGAATGGTCACTAAACCCTATAAGTCGAGGACTGCCTGTATCGTGTAACTGCCACCAGAATTATGCTAACAATGCTACCACAATCTTCAGCAGTTCCAAAACAGAATACTTGTAAAAAAGCATCCGGTTGCAGGAGGACCTTTAAAGCATGTCACTAAGCAGGTGTCAAGTGATGAGGATAAAATGCTTTTTAATAATGCTTTTAATTTAACTCCTTTCTTACAGAATGTGGTGCTGCTTTCACCAGCAAACTTGAAGGAATGTTTAAAGACATGGAGCTATCTAAAGATATTATGATACAGTTTAAGCAAGTAAGGGCGCAGAGTCTGCCGCGTTTCCCTTTTGCAAACATCTCCACTCTGCACCTTCTCTTTCTATTCTCCTACAGTCTTCATTTTTATTTTTATTTTTGTAACACCTTTCGTATTTTACTATGGAGTTATTGTGGGGAAGTCCCGGATAAAAGAACTGGGTCCCTGATTTATTACGTAACTCTCTCGTGGCCTTGCCAGTCTCCTTAAAAGAGCCGCAAGAATCAAATGAGGAAAACCCAAAGAATTCCTTTCTAAATAGCTTAGGGAAAATAATGCAAATGTGCTTGTAGTTCTGAACGGTCCTTCTTTATGTCTTTGATTCTGCCGTAGTATATGCAAAATCAGAATGTACCCGGTAACATTGAACTCACCGTGAATATCTTGACTATGGGCTACTGGCCTACGTACGTGCCTATGGAGGTCCATCTACCGTCAGAGGTAAGACAATTGTAGTTTTGAAATGGAAGAATTCTCTAATTCTTCAAGGATCAGATAAGGAGAGTAATGCCATAGTTAATAATTAAACTTTATCAGTGTTGTTATGATTCCCCTTTTTCACTCAGTGAAACTAACAATTCGGAACGGAAGGTGACCACGTAAATCTAATTGGTTTTGTTATAAAATGCCGGTATGAAAATCATTTAGCCAAGTTGGCACTCAGATTAAAAAGTGCAATTATAGGTTCCGTTTGAGTCAAACAACAAGGAAGTAGAGAAGAGAAAAAAAGTCAGTAATGGGTTTATTTTATCTTTAAACTCTGTATTTCCATTCTGCTTAGATGGTGAAGCTGCAGGAAATATTTAAGACTTTTTATCTGGGAAAACACAGTGGCAGGAAACTTCAGTGGCAATCAACATTAGGACACTGTGTATTGAAAGCTGAATTTAAAGAGGTAACCTTTACTTTGGGGTAATTTTTCCCATATGTGGAAACCATTTTGTAGCTTTGAAAGACTTACCAGAATTTTTTTTAAGCAAATCTTACTTGGGTCCCTAAATATTCAGCTGCCTTGAACTTTAAATGCTTCACAGATAGTCCTCGACCATAATGGGGACTAGAATTTCTGTTGCTAAGCAAGGCAGCTGCAATGGCTATAAGTGCAAAGCCCGGATGTAAGTCACTTTTTCAGTACCAATATAACTATCATGGCTGGCTGGGGAATTCTGGGAGTGGAAGTCCACACAGAACCAATAGAACGACTTACCTCCAGAAGTTATGAATGCTCTAATACTGGAAGTTTTTAAAAAGAGCCATTTGTCTGAAATGGTATAGGGTCTCCTGCCTGAGCAGAGGGTTGGACTAGAAGACCTCCAAGGTCCCTTCCAGCTCTATTCTATTCATTCCTATTCCATTCTATTCTGCATTCTATTCTATTCATTCCTATTCCATTCTATTCTATTCTGCATTCTATTCTATTCATTCCTATTCTATTCTATTCTTCATTTCTCTATTCTATTCTATTCATCCTCAAGCAAGCAAGGTTGAGAAATGCCGACATAGGTTATAAGACCTTTCATGTCGTGATAATGACAGCGATAATTACAGGTGTTATGTCTGCAAGTACTCTGGCACAGATAATCTTGAAGCAAGTATTTCTCACCATGAAAGGCACCCAACGTGGCTTTATTCAATTCTTGTTTTCTTTCCGGCAGGGCAAAAAAGAGCTCCAGGTGTCTTTGTTCCAGACTTTAGTGCTACTCATGTTTAACGAAGGCGAAGAATTCAGCTTAGAAGAAATAAAACAAGCAACTGGAATAGGTCAGTATTGGTGGCTGTTTGTGACGTCTAAGCATGCGCAGCTCAGATGCTGACGTGTGCACGCCTCTCCCTCTCTTTCCGTGTGTTTGTCTTCTCTCTGTATCACAGAGGACGGAGAGCTAAGGCGGACCCTCCAGTCGTTAGCCTGTGGCAAGGCCCGAGTGCTGGCGAAAAGTCCCAAAGGCAAAGACGTGGAAGATGGAGACAAATTCACTTGCAACGACGACTTCAGGCATAAGCTGTTCCGGATAAAAATCAATCAGATCCAGATGAAGGAAACGGTAATTTATTTTCCTTTCAGATTTCCTTCAGAAATATCTCTTGGGCACCGGTCTAAAAGAAATCAGATACCCTTAAAACCCAAAGACTGATAACTATTAAATATCCCAAACATCAATGAAGTATAATTTAAATGAATTCACTCTTTTCCAACCTGACACCTCCTGAGATTTTTGAATTGTTATCTCCTGGCGCCAGGCTGGGAAAGGCGGCATTAACCTCCTGTCCACTTTTCAGAGGCCAAACCTTTGTGTGCGTTTTTTTTTTTTTTTTCCACAGGTAGAAGAACAAGCGAGCACTACAGAGAGAGTCTTTCAGGATCGTCAGTACCAAATTGATGCCGCAATAGTGAGAATCATGAAAATGCGCAAGACGCTTACCCACAACCTGCTTGTCTCTGAAGTGTACAACCAGCTGAAATTCCCAGTAAAGGTAGATCACTTATACACGTCTGGGCTTAATTCTTAAGTAGAGGGTATGTTTAAGACACAGCTCTTCATCATTTTGGCTTATCAGCAAATCAACATCATCACGTTACGTGCTGTTCCCCTGGTTTATTTATTTTTATCCCGCCTTGGTTGTTTTTATAAATATCTCAAGGCAGTGAAAATATACCTAGTACTCCTTCCTCTTCCTATTTTCTTCACAACAACAACCCTGTGACTGTGAGGTGGGACTGGCACAAAGTCAGCCAGTGGGCTTTCAAGCCTAAGGCAGGATTAGAACTCACCATCTTCCATCTTCTAGCCTGGACCTTCATCTCTGGAGCAAACTGGCTCCTACTATGTCCATTGGCTTCTCTTTTTTAAGTAATGAAACAAAAATAACTGAGTTTCATTCAAGCTATGAACGTTTGAGTTGTTATTCTCAAAAGAGATTCTAAAGCTAAGAACAATTTGTTCTTTCTGGCTTTGGCTTCCCCTGATAGGAACAAATCAGAGTTAGGTGGCATTCAATGAAATTACTACAGATGGAGCTGTTGGCTGTGCCCATTAGCAAAGATCTAGCCAGACTAGTTAGACTGACAGAACCAGCATGCAAACTCACTAATAAGCCAGAATTCTGTGCAAATGTAACCATCCTTTGCTTCCTGTAGTACTTTCTTGAAAATCAAACTGTCCGTTACTTTGGCATCCAAGTTAGCTAAATATTTTCCTTCTTTTAGAGTGGCAGGGGCTTTTCTCAAGATAATACCTTTCTATTTCAAATAAAGTCAAAAGTAGTTCTTTACCTAGGTGGACATAAATACATGTCCACATTCTATAGACATCAAAAGTACGAATACATTTCAGTGTGTAAATCCAGACATACCAAAAGAACCAGATGAAACTGGCATACTGATGTGAAATGTGTCTTTTTAAATGTGCTTCGTCGATTCTTTTAAATCTGTTTTTTCCCTTATGCAGAGATTGTTTCTGACTTCTCATATTGCTTTTCAGCCCGCTGACCTTAAGAAGAGAATAGAATCTTTAATTGACAGAGACTACATGGAAAGAGACAAGGAGAACCCCAATCAGTACAACTACATTGCATAAACACACAATGAGCCTTTTTTTCCTTTTCTGCACACTGATGTTCTTGGTTACTGATGGATAAACAAGCCTGTTGATCCCATTAAATTAACCTTTTTCTACTACCAATGACTGAATGAAAGCAGCCTAATGGGATGATGGGCAAGGGGGAAAGAAATATAGTCGAGTGGTCTTTTTTCAGTGGCTTTACATGCCTGTTTAAAGAGTAGTATTTACATTTTTACAAAGAATGCTGTTGAACTCTTTGCATGATATTTGGTATGAACTGCAGAAGATTGTAAGCAAGTATCTGGTCTCTTTAATTCCACCCATTCATTCAGGTCTAAGTCTCTTTAGCATATCGCTCTCCTCCCATTTTGAAAAACCCGAAATGTGTAGCGATTTTATTAAGCAAACGAAGCCCCAAGTTACAACCTTTAAAAAAAAAAAACGAGGCTTAAACTGCATGCAAATTTCTAAGCACTATATGAACAATATTGAGTTTGTTTATTGGACAACAAAGCCTGTGTGGATTGGCAGTCTTCAGAATCAAAAGCCACTCTCAATATTCCTAAACATCATGAATTGTTCTGTAGGTGTTAGAAAGAAAAGCACACCTCTGGATTTTCTGAGGTTGAGAAAAAAGACCTGCCTCAAATATTTGCGGCGCAAATATTGCGGTGAAAAGCTGAAGGGAAGTAGGCTGCTACTGCTCTTACTCCCTTCGTCCTCAAACGTAAGTACTTTTAAAAATAAAACAATTCATGATATCAGAGTTAATTGCGGAGGGGGAAAATTTTTAGAGGCTGGCTTATTTCAGAGAAGGAAATTCTTAATTAATGAACATCAGGGTGTAATGTGATTGCTGCCTTGGATTTTATTACCCCCCCCCCATGCAAAATTAAGAGGTTTTATACTTCTGCCAAATTGCACATGTTTTATTATTAGACAAAGAATTGAACAAGTATTTAGAAAACAGCACTCTCCAACCCATCTAGCTACAGTTAGGAAGAGAGTTGTAGCCTAAACCAGTATTTCTCAAACTTGGCAGCTTTTAAGGTATGTGGACTTAGCTGACTGGGGGAATTCTGGAAGTTGAAGTCCACGTCTTAAACTTGCCAAGTTTGAAAAACACCAGCCTGAGTAATGCCTCTGCTCTCTCTTCATTTGAGTCATGCTGGATTCTAGGGGGAAAGGGGGGGGGGAATTCCTAAAGAGGCTGGATTGATTCTCAACATAATGGAACCCTTTCCTCACCTGGTAACTTCCGGTTAGCGTAGGGCTGTAAGTCCCAGAATTCCTCAGCCAGCGGCAGGGAAATTCCAAGAGCTGCTTACCAGCTCTTCCAGTGTCTGCGGTGATCTTCTTCACGTATGAACAATTCTGAGACCATCAGGATGGTATGAAAGAGCATCCAAGCGCTGCTTTTGAATCACGGCAGCCTCTCAGTAACCTACCTGCATTGCTTTTTATTACACCAAATTGGTGGGTAGACTGGGTTTGTTTTTTCTGCCAGAAGATCCTTGTGCATGCATTGCATCCAAAATCCTGTTTTTTATCAGGCTGTTTAAAAACTCCTTTCTGAACAGCTAAATCCAGTGCTAATCATAACTGTAGCCGTTCAGCGCTGAATTGGCAGGTTTTCCATAACTCGTCCAATACTCGTTCAAACTCTCTCGTTTGAAAATTTCTTCAGATGTTAAGCCGCCTTCTCCCTTCCTGGCACAGACCTCCAGTGCAATATGAAATATTTAGCCATCAATGGTCTCCTTAATCTGGTCATCTAGAAAATGAATATTTCCTGCGTAAGAATGACATTTTAAGTGCGAGCGTCTACCCTTCCTATAGGTGAGCAAGCCATCTTGCTGGTACATCTGTGTCTAGGAACTCAGGGAGACCAACATTCATCACGGGAATTCTTTTTTGTTTTTTTTTTCCTCTCCAATCATAAGAGTAATTCTGGGTTTGTTTTTTTTCTCCCTTAAAGAGACTGTAAGGAGGAGAAAATATTCATAGTAAGTCAGTTCACCAAATCATTTCCCCTAAGTGATGCTGAATAGTAGTTATTTTTCAGCCATATCGGCCAGCAACTTTTCTTTCTGCTGGCATCATGTGCCTGCTATATGGAGCCATAAAAATATTTATAATAGATATGTATATAAAAATACTTTCACTTCCCCCCACACACACACACTGGGGGCTAAAGGAGAGACCCACAGCTTGTCTGGCCATAAATTTTTTAAATCTTTTTTTCCTGTTGCATGCAGTTTATAGCAGCCTCCTTTGTATGAAATGGGAATTTCTGCTGATTTTAGTTTGAAGGATTTTTAACGAAAAAAAAAACTTTATATCCAACAAAATGATTTTTTTCCCTTTTCCTTTTTTTTTCTGATTTAAGTTTAAGCAACATCGTTTCGAAATTAATGGCAAAGGTGTTGTACAAAATTTATTTGTTCTATAGTATACACAAAGGTGCCAAAGTACATAGAGTTAATTTAAAGGAAACAGACAATTGTTAATGTTAATTTAGCTGTGGTTTTATTTACCTTTATTCATCATTCAGATGCTCATTTTACCTGTCTAATGCGTGCCCTGTTTCTGTGTGTTTAATATGTGTTCCTGTCTCAATTTCTCCAAAACGCAAAACATTTGTCTTTCTAATTTTCTTCAAAATAAAATGTTTTTGAGGGAAGGGTTTTGTGCATTGGAAAAATACCATTTTTACTTCATATATATATATATATATATATATATATATATATATATTCAAAAGAGCGTCTCCTCCACCTCCCTAAATGTTTAAAACTAAAGAGTCCAGCAGCATTCAAAAATGTAATACACTTTTTTGTATAAACACATTCTTTGGAAAGAATATCTTTGCAACGGGTGGAGGGAGGGAACAGACAGCAGCGGGAGGGGAAAAAAATAATAATCCAGTTTCTTTTAAGAAGCCACTTCAGTAGGCTATTTAAGATTGTGCTTGTTTATTGCATAGAAGTGTTCTATTTACACAGGTCTGCAAAGAGGACATGTCCACATTAATTCCTTCAATGCAAACAAAATACCAAATCCCAAACAATTTTCAAACACTTCATAAGTAAAAGTGGATGGGTACAGAGAGTCTCTTTGGTAAATAATGTAAATACATGTCCTTTAAAAAGAGTGAGTCTGTTATCTAGGTATTTTGTGTCATTTAATAAATAATAAACAGTTTTGTGTTGCTAAACTCTTCCTTGGTCGTGTGTGGTACGGAGCGAGCTTATGTGGAGGGTGCATTTTGGCCTCTCGCTTCTCTAGTTGATGTTGATCTAGTTCCTGTTGCCAAGCATCTGAATTTTCATCACATGATCATGGAGATGCGGCAACGGTCATTAAGTGTGAAAAATGGTCATGTTTTTTTCAGTGCTGTTGTCACTTCAAATGGTCAGTAAATGAATTGTTAGTTGAGGACTCCCTGTACCAGGCTAGTTAAGTGCTTTAGCAAGTTAGCATTTTGCCTTTGACTAATAGGGAAGTTAATCTTTTGGCACAAACAAAGAATTGGCTGAGTTGCCATCTTAGCTTATCCAAAGTAACGCTAATTAGCAGGTGGCAAAATAGCAAGTTTCTTCATTAGCCTTGTCTTGCAAATGGCCCTTCCTTGATTTCATGTTGTGGGAAATTGTGCAACTGTTGCAAGTGCTACTGCAGGCTATTCCTGGGAAAAAGCATCCGGCTCGTTTTAATAAACCTTAATGCTTTGTTTTTGTTTTGTTTGTTTGTTATTTTACTTCTGCTAAGCCAGCTCATTGGAATCATTTTTTTTTCTGAATTTGCTATGAAAACGAGGGCTTTGGCATATAGTGCAGAGTAGATTGGTGGATTGATTCAAAGTTGGATTGGTTTAAAATAGGTTGGTGGGTTGATTCAAAGTTCCTCTCTCCCAAGATTTGGGGGGAGGGGGTGTAAAAAACTAGGTATCTTTATAATCTGCAGTTCTCAAGTGGCAGAATTAAAAGGTGCAACCTGGCTTGTTTTTCTGTGAACACGTTTTTGTGCCGCACACACTGATGAAGTCCATGCCTGGATTAACGTGCCAAGCCATCATTTCTTTGTTGAATACGTTGCATATTTTATCTACATTGTGAATCTGCAGTTAAAAACCCTGCAGTGTTATGCTTTGTCTCAGCCTCGCTTCCAGACTCTCGCTGCTGTTGAGCCTTACCATTAAGATTCCTGTTCCTCAAGATTTCAGAAGCTACTTGTATTAAGTGTGTTCTGTCAGATAAATACTTGGTCGCTCTCTTTTTGCATCGTAATTTGCTTCATTCTGATGGCATGAATCAGAGATTTGGTGCATCCAATACCCTAAGTTAAAACTACATGTTGCAATTGAAGAAGGGATGAAAATTAGGCCCTAAGGGGAGAAAAAAAAAACCAACCCAATCAGCCTCCTCTAATTCTTCTTCAGGTGGACCACCGAACATATAACTGCTTCTCCCACCCCCTCCAGACTTCGTTCATCAATAAGAATTCTGCCTACTTGGGAAATACATTGTTGAGGTCAACTCATTGGAAGGTGCCCCCTTCGAACAGGGTGATCTAGAGCAGTGTTTCTCAACCTTGACAATTTTAAAGCATGTGGACTTCAACTCCCAATGCTGGCTGTGGAATTCTGGGAGTTGAAGTCCACATGCCTTAAAATTGTCAAGGTTGAGAAACACTGATCTAGAGCAAGGGTAGGCAACCTTGGCTCTTTTATGACTCCTGGACGTCAACTCCCAGAATTCCTGAGCCAGCCATGCTGAGGGGAAAGGGGGAGTTTCCAAGCTGAGCCATGCTGGCTCAGGAATTCTGGGAGTTGAAGTCCACCAGTCACAAAAGAGCCAAGGTTGCCTACCCCTGATCTAGAACCAGTTTGGTCTGTTGGTTGAGGCACCAGGCTAGAAAGGAATCCATGCATTCTAGACCCACCTTAGTCATGAAAGCCAGCCGGGTGACTTCAGGCCAATTACCAGGTGACTGGAAGTTCTAGTCCTGCCTTAAGCCTGAAAGCCAGCTGGATGATTTGGACCAATTTATCAGAAGACTGTGAGTTCTAGTCCCACCCTAGCCGTGAAAGCCAGCTGGGTGACTTCAAGGCAATCACCAGGAGGCTGGGAGTTGTAGTCCTGCCTTAAGCATGAAAGCCGGCTGGGTGACTTTTGAAAAAGCCACTGTGCGGGCGTTACAACACAAAAAGCATCGGTGCCCATTATCTCAACGTGACACCTCCAACTCCTTTATTTGCAATTATTCTAGGCTTTCACATGACTCCGCACTTTCCCCCAGCAGGTTTTTTTTTTTAATTGGTTGGTGTGCCGTCGCCGCCGTCCCCTTCTTTTCCAGAAACCAGCCACCACTTTTTTTCCCCTCCGCAACTATACCAGACATTGCCTGTGCCTAGGACGGGCCCGTGTTAAACCCGCTATTATGGCTTGGGCTGATCCCCGCAGCCCCCCCCCAAAAAAAAACCCGGTTTGCAAAGCCGCGGACGGAGCAAACCAGGATTTAGGGCTAACACAGCGGAGGGGAATAAAAGATTTCCAATCATGACCGATTTGAAGCAAGTCAGCAGGAAGTGAATGTTTCAGGTATGCAATCAGAGCAATTTAGGAGAGGTTAAAAAAAGAAAAGAAAGAAAGAGAGAAAAAGAGACAGCTCACACCCTTTCCCTCCCGGCGTTTTGTGATGCAAACCCAACCGCCCCTACCGCGTCTGTTACGGCAGAAAGCCCGGTCGTGAAACGCAAGGTCCGTCCAAGCCGGGGGTCGCGCTGCGATTGGTCGGCGCCGCCAGGAGGCTCCTCCCTATCCCGCGGGCCCCGCCCCCCGGCTCCCATATGACCGGTTTCGGCGGCCGGACGAGTTGCGTGTCTCGTCTCGTCGTCTGGATCCGCTCGTGGCTGGTGCTGGTTCCCTCGCCGCTCGGCATGGACCCGCCTCGGCTTCGCTTCCGACCGCCGTTCTTCTACGGCTGCCTTCTCCTCCTGCCCCTGCTGCTCGACGGCCTGGGTGAGAGCCGGGGAAGGGGGGGCGCCCCGAAGTCTTGGGGGGGGCTGCCCTGGGAGTGCGACGAGGGGGTGATTCTCCCCCCCCGAAGGTGGAGAGCATTAGGGGAGGGGGCTCCAATTTGGGGGTGGAAGCGGCCGAGGGTCTTTTGGAAGCACCCCAGACGTAGGGGTCCTGCTTGGGTGGGAACACCTCAAATGTGGAGAAAGAGTTGCCTGGAAGGGGGGATGATGCCCCCCCAAATTTGAGGGTGGAAGGAAAGAGCAAAAGAGGAGGGGGTCTCTTAAAAGTGGGCAGCTGGAGGTGCAAACGGGACTAAGCACACCATAAAGTGGGGGTACTTGAGTGATGCTCTTAAAGGGATGTTGGAAGGCACCCCAAATGTGGAGAGGGGTTGCCTGGAAGGGTGTGACGATGGAGAATCCGGGCATGCCCCCCCCAAATTTGAGGGTGGAAGGAGAGAGCCAAAGAGGCGGGGGGGGGTCTCTTAAAAGCGCCGGAGGTGAAGGTGCAAACAGGAGCAGGCACACTTTAAAAGTGGGGGTACTTGAGTGATGCTCTTAAAGGGATGTTGGAAGGCACCCCAAATGTGGAGAGGGGTTGCCTGGAAGGGTGTGACGATGGAGAATCCGGGCATGCCCCCCCCAAATTTGAGGGTGGAAGGAGAGAGCCAAAGAGGCGGGGGGGGGTCTCTTAAAAGCGCCGGAGGTGAAGGTGCAAACAGGAGCAGGCACACTTTAAAAGTGGGGGTACTTGAGTGATGCTCTCAGAGGGATGTTGGAAGGCACCCCAGATGTGAGGGCTAACACGTAGAGTGGGCGGTGGAGGATTCAGAGATGCCCCTTCAAATTTGAGGGTGGCAGAAGAAGGGGATGGAGGAGGGCTCTCCTCCTAAAAGTGGGGGTGGCGAAAGGAGTTGGCACACCCTAAAAGTGGGGGTACTGGGGAGCCTTCCAAAAGTAGCCTGGAAAAGGGCTGTAGAGGATTCGTGAGTGCCCCTTCCCTGAATTTGGGCAACAGAGAAGGGTGCCTCTTATAATAGGGGTGAAAATGCAGTTTAGACACCCCAGAGGTGATGATACTTGGACTGTATCTTTGGAGGTGAAGAGGAGAGAGGCTTCAGGTACATTCATGAAAACCTGGAAAGCTTCTAAGATGCCTTCAAAAGGTTGCAAAAAGATTGGATGATGTTCCCTGAAGTGGGAGGCAAGCAATTGCGTTGAGCTGCTCATAATGGAGGAGTTAACCATGGATGTAGAGCAGTGGTTCTCAACCTTTTTAATGCCGCGACCCCCCAACCGGTCGTAAGTCGAGGACTACTCAACCGGTCGTAAGTCGAGGACTACTCAACTGGTGCAGCACCGTTTGCAGAATGGGACTTTGGCGGCCTCAGCAGGGCAGAGACAGCCTGGACAATTCCTACTGGCTTTTGAAAGCCAATAGAATTAGACTCTATTCAAGAGAGTCTATTCTATTGGCTTTCAAAAGCCAATAGAATAAAAGGGAGTATCACAGCTAAGGAAAAGGGGGAAAAAATGGCGGACTGCGTTGTTTGGGGACCCCTGTGAAATGGTCGTTTGACCCCAAATGGGGTCCCGACCCACAGGTTGAGAACCACTGATGTAGAGGAAGGTTGGAAGAAGATTAAGAAAATTAGGAACTTACAATATTCTTGGCCACAAGATATACAGAGCTACCGTTTTCTTCTGCTGGATGCTTAATTCCATTTCCAAGCTAAGTTGAAGCCCTGGAATTTCTTGTCTCCTTGCTAAACGCCAGCCTGGTCCACACTTGGCTAGTTTTTGGAGATTAGCCAAGAGAAGTCAGGTGCTATTACTCACTTGAATTATTACAAGGTCGGTGAAATTATACTTACTAAGGCAGCCTTACTCAATCAAGCACTCTCCACCTATGCTGAAAAGTAAGAATAAAGATAAGGCTTGATTTCTGCTGACTTGCTGTTGTCTTCTTCTGGCTGATATTTTTCAATTCCCCAGTCAAGCTGAGACTTCTGGTGGTCCCCCACCCAAATTCAGATCCACATTCTGACTCGGTTTACCTTGCCAAGAGCAAAGGAATATTGCCCCATAAGTTTGAGCAAGTCAGACTTGATGGTCCTCAGAGCACAACTGGGGAGAAGGCTGCATGAGCCTTGTTGAAAAAGGAAGAGGTGTATCTAGATTGGAAGAACTTCTCAGATATTGGAGAAGAAAAAGGCCAAACCATGACTTGGATGTGGATAAAGAGGGTCATCTATTGTATCTAGCAGAGATCAACTTCTGTGTCTTAACTTGTGTAAACAGGGCTCTTGTTTATGACATCAACTAAAATCCTTCAGTAATTTACAATCTCTCCATATTGTATAAGCTCAGCCTTTGATTTCTAGCTTGACTCTGGATCCTGCTGCCATTTATGATCCAGTTATCCACTAGAAATCCAGAGAGAATTCTCTGTCCTGGAAGGGGATCTGATCCATCCCTGGATGAGTTCTCAGAAAGCTTTTAAAACATTGAGGTTCCTAAAACTCATCCAAACCTTTCAAAGTTTTAAGTCTATTGGAGCCACAGCTCTTCAGCCAATATTAGCAGGATTTGTTTCTGGGACTTAACCTGCCAAAAGATTTGGAGGAGACCCGATTAATGAAGGCTGAAAGCCTTGTGGGTTCATGTATGACAATCATGGTGACATAATAAATGCATTGCGTAGAGGACTTGAAAGGCACTTGGCGTAGCAATGAAGGCAACCAGGCTAGAAATGGAGATATCATAATTTCTAATCCACTTTAGGCACAAACCAGCTGGACAATCTTGAGCCAGTCACTTTCTCTCAGCCCTAGGAAGGAGGCAATGGCAAACCACTTCTGAAAAACCTTGTCAAGAAAACTGTAAGGACTTGTCCTGGCAATCTCTGAGGCTGGACTAGAAGACCTCCAAGGTCCCTTCCAGCTCTATTCTATCTCCAAGAATCAGAGATGAACAGAAGAAGAAAAGATGAATGGCCGATCTTTACATATACAATAACCCTGTTTTGGCCTAGTTGTGTTCCTGTTCAGACTCTGGCATTTTCAGCTGTTTCTTGCAATTTCTAGTGTTTCACAGAGACAGCTCTGTTGTTTCTGTCTTAAATAAGCATTTTTTTTAAAAAAAACTGCTCTTGCTGTATTTGTGTGTCAGATGGGGAAATGTAACTTTCAAGCCTTATATTGTGTTGTCCAATTTGAAAGGGAAAAAGAACCACATCATTAAAAGATGAGCTTAATAGGTGGGAAGGACACACAGTTGCAGAGGTTTAACTACTGTTAAACCAGCATTTAAACCTGTTCGTTAAGCAATGTGTCAGGAGTTTTCTCTGGGAATGACAGGCTGGGACATGACTTGTGTGTTGCAATTACACACACATCAAAAACCTACTACCATACTGGAATGACAACCAGTCTATTAAGTATTGGGTAGCTGAAATAGAATGGGTTTGGGAGACTTCTAAAGTGTGCACATGCCCTTGAATTTTCCATCCACCCTTCAAGAAATGTGAGAACACAAATATTTCTTATGATAGCATATTCATCAGCGGGTGTGTTTTCATAGTTAATGAAGTGTGGGTGTTTTATTCATCAGTCTAGATAAAAATGGGTTTTAGACCAGAATGACTGAAAAATAATTAAGGGTGTGAAATGTTCTTTCTGATGTTTTTTCATTATCAAGTGTCTACCTTCTTTCCAGTGTTCAGACATAATTGTGATTTAAGTACAAAGAATAATGAATTTAGGGAGAGAGATGATTGTGACTATATGAAACTCAGCTTTTATTCTTTCTTGCAATTCATACCTAACTCGCATAAAATCTATATTTAAATGTAAACTGAGACAAATTCAGTTTTTCTTTCCCACCTGAAATACCGACTCTGATCTCAGATTAAAAATATCTGAGGAATAGATTGTCTGTCTTGTAAATTTTCTTATGCTTTTTGCACAATTATCTGAGAAGCAGAAAAGCCCCAAGACTGTTTTCCTCCATACATTCTGAGATGTTTGTTGAATGTCAACATTTGTAGGGGGATAAATAAAAATGGAATAATTGTAATGTATAAAAATAATGTGAATGAAGAACAGAACACAGCTGGAAGGGACCTTGGAGGTTTTATAGTCCAGCCCCCTCCTCAATTAGGAAATCCTAGACCATTCTCTTCTTAAAAGCCTCCAGTGATACAGCACCCAGAATTTCTGAAGGCAAACCCTTCCACTGGTTAATTATTCTCAATTAAATCAATTAAATGCAGGGTGATGGGACGTGTTGTGGTTTTTTTTGTCACTAATTGTATCACTGGCTGACTGGGCAAACAATATTCCAGTTGTTTTCCAGACCTACGCAGTAGATTTGGAGGTAAAAGATGACTTCAACGTGTCTTGTCTGTTTGCAAAATGGATGATGAAATTTTCAATAACCTACGAAGGAACCGATGAATCTGTAAGCATACATTTTTTTTTTTCTTTTCCAATATTTAAGCCAAGGGTGGCCAACATGGAGGAACCTCTATATCCTGAAAACAGAAGCATCTCAACAATCCTGTCTGAAATTTAAACTACTCAGAGGACTGCAACGTCCTTTGCAAAAGGCCTCTGGGGGAGAGCAAATGCGCTGCAGCATCTACCAGCAGTTCTTTAAAGCAACAGTTCTTCTGGGTCTGCACACTTAAAGGGCCGCTGTACACGTAAAGCAACAGCTGCTTTAAAGGGCTGCTGAAAAGTGCTCCCTGCATGCTTGCAAAACTGCCTTTTCACACGTCCTTAAAAACCCACAGAGCAAGAAAAGATTTTACTTTAAAATGCATGCCTTATTTATTTTATTTTTTTTTGCAACATTAAAATAACAGAGCTGGAAGGGACCTTGGGGAGGGGGTCTTCTAGTCCAACCCCCTGCTCAAGCAGGAGACCCTATACCAGGGGTCTTCAAACTTGGCCCTTTTATGAGTTGTGGACTTCAACTCCCAGAATTCCTCAGCCAGGCACGCTGACTGAGGAATTCTGGGAGTTGAAGTCCACAACTCATAAAAGGGCCAAGTTTGAAGACCCCTGCCCTATACCATTCTGGAGAAATGGCTGTCCAATCTTTTCTTAAAAACCTCCCGTGATGGAGCACCCACAAGCTATGAAGGCAACAATGGTTAATTGTTCTCATTGTCAGGAAATTCCTCTTTAATTCTAGATTGCTTCTCTCCTTGATTGGTTTCCACCCGTTGCTTCTTGTCCTGCCTTCAAGTGCCTTGGAAAATAGGTTGACTCCCCTCTCCTTTGGGGCAGCCCCTGAGATATCGCAACACAGCTATCATGTCACCACCCAACTCAGCGTTGACCTTGGATGCTTTCATCAGTGGCTTTGTGCACATTCTGCTTAAAAATGTCCTGCTGCTTTGAAATCTTTTTCAGAAAACATCTATTTTTATGCTCCCGGAAGATGTGAGGTACATCGGAACCTCTTGCGGGAATGAAACCTCTGGCCCAGTCCTTTCCATTGAGTTTGGGGAAGGAAATTCTTGGACCATCCATTTTACAAAGACCAAAGACGTTTACCAAGGAATCATCACCTTTGTCTATAACACCGGAGATGGAGTGTTCTTTCCAGATGCTAAAAGGAAGGGTAGGTATCGGGACTTCCTGTTGCTTCGCTTCTGACGTGATCGTCCACCAATTGAAAGAGTGTTGCATTTTCCCAAGTCACCTCTGGAGTTCTTTGGGTGATCACGACAGCTTGGAAACACCGATACCCACCATCTTAAGAGGGGAAACATCTCTTTTGCCATGATTTATTTTTTTAAAAAAAATAACAAACTGGATCTCCTTCCTGATTCCCCTACTCCATGGGTAGGCAACCTTGGTTCGTTTATGACTCGTGGGCTTCAACTCCCAGAATTCCTGAGCCAGCACAGCTGGCTCAGGAATTCTAGGAGTTGAAGCTCACGAGTCATAAAAGAGCCAAGGTTGCCTACCTTGCCCTACTCTCTCCCCAAACAGGAAAAGTTAGAACATTTGAGCCAGATTTTGCTTGGTCGTTTTGTGATTAATTGTAGTTCTTATGCCACATTAAAAAAAAAAAAAAACAGCCTTTGGAAAACGGCATCTTTTAAAAATGTTTGGCGTGATCTCTGCTGGACACCAGTCCTGCTTTTAGTTGGTGTAGTTGCTAAGAGGTTGACTTGGCAGCAAAGAGCTAGATCGGGGGGGGGGGGGTCTCCAATCTTGGCAACTTTTAAGACTTGTGGATTTCACCTCCCAGAATTCTCCAGCCCCTGGAGGAAAGACAGCATCAATCTGACGAATAAACTTTTAATCTTATTCCCACCGTTGACTTTGAAACAGCTAAAGGGCTTAAAAGCCCCTGTTTTGCTCCTTTAAAATGCTTCAAAATAGCAAAAAGAAAAATGAAAAACAGTTAAAAGTTTGAACTCTATCCATTCTGGGTGGCGATTTGAAACTGTAGAATTCAAATCAGCCCAATTCACATTATTTAGGGCCCTAGGAAAGTGATCAAAAGTAGGAGGAACAATCTTGTAACAAAATGAAACAAAACCTGAATAATCTGGAAGCAAAACTGAACCTTGTTAAGATAATAGCATGTCCTGTAACAATCCCCAAAGGGGAGAATTTGGCATCTTAATGTCATACAAAGTGCTCAGGTTATGTGGAAAAGATTTTGTCGTGAGGGAAAACAGAGGGTGTGTTTCCGCCCTCTGAGCTTATTGCAAAAACCTAACGTGGCAAGACTGTCTTGCAAAACCCCACGCTTCTTACTCTTCAACTTCCAGGTTGTTTTATTTATTGCAGCACTGCCTCGCCTCTCCCTGAGAATTTAAGCTGGCCTTGCCTAAATGATAATTTCCTCATTTTATACAAGGAGTGCTACGAAGAGGGCTGAGCTGAATTGAGCAAGAATGAGTGGGCATTTAAGTCTTCTTGATCCCTGTCTTCTACTAAGGGTGCCACTCTGGCTGTTTGTCTTGAGTGAGCGAAAAGTGCTTTTTTCCTCCTTCCCTTGCAGTTCTTTACAACGGATCTCGATAGAAAGGATTTTCCCCTGGCTAGATTCACCCGTCACATTAATTTGGATCTGATTAGTGCAGGGGTCTTCAAACGTGGCCCTTGTATGACTTGTGGACTTCAACTCCCAGAATTCCTCAGCCAGCATGCCTGGCTGGGAGTTGAAGTCCACAAATCATACAAGGGCCAAGTTTGAAGACCCCTGAATTAGTGGCTTGCAAGCCCTGATTGCTAGCTTAGTTCAAATGGGTGCCATTGTCTTTCTTGACCTCCAGTATCCTGCAAGGAACTTTAGGTTTAATATCCCAAAGGGGCTTTTCCAAAAGACGACTGGAAGAAACTCACTGAAGAAGCTTCTTGGATGAGAAGGGAAATGTTTTCAAAGGAAAAAAAAAAAACAAGAAAGTCCCTCTGGGACCACCATGAACTGGATGATTGAGAATCTCCACAGAGATTTAGGTTTAATATTTGCAAGCCTTAGAGCTGGCAGCCTTGAACCAAACGTGTTGATTTCTTTACAGAACGAATAACCGTTGAGGCCAGTTTTCCTGCCAACCCAGTTCCGCTAAACACGGCCTTTAGTTGTGACACTGAAGACACGGTGAAAAGTGGCGATGTGACCCAGACGTTCCAGAGTGTGACTCTGCAAGCTTTCCTTCAAGATGGACGCTTGAGTAGCCAAAGTGAGTAAGCTCAAGAGTACTCGACAGGTTTACAAACTGGGCAGCGGCCACATTTGAAAAAGTAAACAGTTCCTGTCCTGAGAACCAAGGCTTTTAGTCGGACACTCCTGAGTAGGTGGTTCCTTCTAGCAAGAGATGTGTTCCCTTAAAGCAGGGGTGGGGAACGAAGGCTCTTTCATATGACTTGTGGACTTCAACTCCCAGAATTCCTCAGCCAGCTATGTTGGGAGTTGAACTCCACAAGTCATCAGGGGGCCATCGTTCCCCCGCCTCTGCCTTAAAGGCTGCATTTATGGGACTGATATCAGTGAGATGGGTTGGCCCCACCACGATCTACATCAGGGGTCTTCAAACTTGGCCCTTTTATGACTTGTGGACTTCAACTCCCAGAATTCCTCCACCAGCGTGCCGCGCTGGCGGAGGAATTCTGGGAGTTGAAGTCCACAAGTCATAAAAGGGCCAAGTTTGAAGACTCCTGATCTACATGAAACAGTCACTCGAGCATAAGAAGTGAGGAGATAGTAGCCAGGTGTTAGAGAAGGGAGCCCCCTGCCACAAAGCCTGTTTCTTCTAAGCTAGATTGTGATTTTCAGATACGTGGAAGTTCCGCTCATGTCACTAAAGAAATATTCCACTGCCATCTTAGAAAACCATCAGATATGGCATTGGGGGGGGGCATCTTGTTTCTCATCCTTGGGTTGGCCATGTCTGTGGTGTTACCGTATCTTTGGCTCCCGGCATGAAGTTTTCATCGTCCTTTTTTAAACGACTCACCTGGTCTACAGCCACCAATGAAAAGATGGCAATACCATGGAACATCCATGATTTATAGCTTTCTTGAACATTTGACTTCGGTTCCCATAATCCCCAGCAGGTTTTCCAAAGTTTGGGGAAACTACAGTATGTTCAGGGCTTCCCGTGGAAAAATACTGGGTTTGGTATACACAGGAAGGGCTCGACTTAACAATATTTGTTTAGTGACTACTCAAAGTTACAATGACATTGGAAAAAGTGACTGTTTTCCACACGTGACCGCTGCAGCACCCCCTTCGTCATGTGATCAAAATTCAGACGCTTGGCATGTATTTTATTATAAACATGCATGTATTTATGACGTTGACAGTGTTCCTGGGGTCATGTGATCCCCTTTTGCGACTTGAGCAAAGTCAAACGGAAAGCCAGATTCACTTATAATTTAACAATTGCACACAAGAACTGTGATAAAAGGTCATAAAATGGGTCAAAACTCACTTAATGGCCGTCTCACCGAGGAACCAAAATGCTTGAGCTCAATTGTGATCGTAAGTCAAGGACTACCTGTGCTGTGATGGGTATAAACGTAAGTGCTGTCCAGAACCAGGGCTCCTGGTTCAAATTTCTCTGGGTTTTTTTCCCCCCCAGAGACTCTGTGTGATAATGACGCCACAGCGTCCACTGCTCCCGCAGCCAGCAAATCCATCCTCCTGGCCGCCATCACGGGCACTCCAGAGTTAAACGCCACAGAAACGCCATCTTCCCCCACCGTCCAACCAGAGGAGAAACCTGCCACAGGAAGCTACACCGTCAAATCTGGCCTGGTTACCTGCATTTTAGCCAACATGGGTTTGCAGCTGAACGTCACTCAACAGGTTTCACAAGTATATACTGTCTTGGTTATCCCCGTGGGCGTTGCGGATTCGTGTGTGTCAGCGTTGATGCTTAGTGGCGTATACAGAAGCTGGCCTTCTGTGGGCTGACTTTAACCCCAATTTTGAGAGCTCTTAAAGTTCCCCATGATGGTGTGGCTGAAATTGGGGTGGTAAAAATGCTGAATGTTGCTTTAGGGTTGGGGGGTTTTCTCCCTTTTATGCTAAAGTTAGAGGGAAAAGGGAGTATGAAGAACATCTGCCCTATGCTAGGAAGAAATTGAGAGACTCATGTTAGCCCAGACCTGAATATCAGCACTGAAAAAAAGCTTAAATACTACAAGCTCAGCATTCATAGCTGCCAGGAGAATCCTTGCTATGACCTGGCCATTAACAGAAGAGAGGGATGTGTAAAAGCAACTAAAAATTGGGTTGTTCAACCCTTTTTTTTCTTCCACTTACCATACCTGCTTGGTTTAAACGACAAGAGCAGGCCATAGCAGGAAGTGAACGTGTAAACGATGGCTAATTAATTCCGTTTGTTTTAAACCGCGCATTTATCTACTGATTATGCGTATTGCACAACCAATAAGCCAGAGTTGCAGTTCAGGTTTATTTTATTTATTTATTTATTAATAAAATTTATATGCCACCCAATCCCTAGGGACTCAGGGCGGCGCACAAAATTAAAACAACAAGTATAATAATTAAAAAAAAGAATACATTCACAAAGGTTAAGGCATAAAGTTATTAAATGCACAAATAAAAGGGCTTGCATAGCTTTTGGGTGCCCAGCTCACCAATAGAGGGAGTGTAGATTCCCCAAATCTTGTCTGCAATGATGTCTGAATCCTCCTTCCTGGAGACGCTAAGGCACCTCACTAATTAATAATGGACGCTAGAAGAATAAATTTAAATTGATAAGCAAAGGCAGCATTGGCTTTGAGGAACACTCTCTCCTTTTAGAAATGACTTCTGTATTTTTCTCCGTGCAAAAGATTCTTTTCTTTCTCGGCTGAACTTTGAGTTAGTTTTTTAAAAATTGTCCAGGTTGATATTTTAATAGAATCTTTAGGGTGACATGATTCGTTTCTTCGTTCTGGCCATCATGCACCTTTTCAAGTAAGGTGGGAAGCGGGTTTTGGAACAGATTTTAGAGCTCCCCAGAGCACAAATATTTTTTGCCTGCCTTCCCAGCTATGAGAGATGCCTACAATGAGACAGAATCATCCCACTTTTATTGGTCAACCAGGATTAGACCTGGAGATGATTTTGTGAGCTTCCAAGCTTGAAGATCTTTGTGGGTGGGGATAAAATATGCAGGAGACACGATAAGGGGGCTGAAATGTTTCTGTTTTTCTTCAGGTTCCCACCATGATTAACTTTAATCCAAACAGCACGGTGGCTACCGGTAATTGTGGCAAGACAACCGCCGTGCTTCGGCTGAGTGACGGTAACATGAAGGTTGATTTCCTCTTTGCTGTGGTAAGTACCACCGGGGCACGTACTACTGATGCACTGACTTGATTTATTTAGGTGTTATTTCCCTATGCAAGTCGATTCACCCTTTCCTGATAAGGACAAGAAATCCCAGCAAGAGAAAGACGGAACTTTTTCAGTTGTGCTGGAGGAAGCAACGAGATGCCCTCCAGCTTTTTCCAGAATTGCTCCAGCCTTAAATGCAGCCACTGCAGGTTCATTTTGCAATCAAAACGGCCTGTCTTTCAAAACTAGATCGCTTTCATTAAGTCATGAATTAACTGCCTGTTGCAGTATCAGATTACTTCCAGCAGATATCTGATTGTGACTTCAGTCTGTTAGGCATTTGTTACATCCACCTCCATGCCTGCCAGAGGCTGACACCAAAGCCTCATTTTTCACATTATTGGGGGGAGGGGGATTTTATTCAGTGAATTGCACTGAAACAAATCTATAGGAGATGGAACTGATTTTTTTTTTCCCCTGATCCACTGATATTTTTCCGAGATCGAAGGTTGCCATAATCTGCCCCCTCACCCCCGAATAAATAAAATGGTACGATAATTTTTCCCACTGTAGGCTTCCCCTGAACAGTATTTCTCGGTAAAATGATTTCAATTGTATATGTAACCGGGTTTCCTTTTGTGAAAAACAGAGAAATTCTACGATTTCGGAAAAATTCTATCTGAAAGGAGTGGATATCACTGTAACAGAATCGTCAAACGGTAAGGGGTGTTTGGGCACTTAGAGTCCAGTACATGTACAGTTCATTTAGCAACTGTTCAAAGTTACGTCGGCATTGAAAAAAGTGATTTGTGATCGTTTGTCACAGTTAACGGCCGTCGTAGCATCTCTACGGTCCTGGATCAAAATTCAGACGTTTTGCACAACCAACTCATATTTATGACAGTCGCAGTGTCCTCGGGGGATCACGTGATCCACTTTTGTGACCTTTTGACAAGCAAAGTCAGTGGAGAAGCCAGAATCACTTAACAACTGTGTTACTAGCCTAACCTCTGCAGTGATTCTCTTAACCCCTGTGGCAAGAAATGTCGTAAAATGGGGCAAAACTCATTTAACAAACTGTCTCACTTAGCCACATAAATTTTGGGCTCAATTGTCGTATGTTTGAGGACTATCTGTAGAATGTTTTTGTTTTGTGTTTTGAACAAGAGATGTTTTGTACATAAAAGGGGCTGGCTTTTTAAAGTTGGCACTTCTCACCCAAAAACAGAAACAAAAAATTTGCAATACATCCTCCAGAGCAGAATGATGCAAACTCAAGTCAGGCTCTGAAAAGGATATTGTAAACTGCCTTTCCTTATCCAGCTCCTTGGAACAATGAGTCATCAGCAAAGCCGGAAACTAAGAATAGGTTGGTTAGAGAAAGCTAGATAGGCCTCACCTGAAATGGTTTGCAAAAACAACAGTTAAAAAAAAAAGGCTTTTCTTTTATTTTCAGTGCTTCCTTCGACTTCTTAGAGACCTGTCTGGTGCTTTTCTTTTCACAAACAAGCAATTGTAATTCAGGAATGGTGCAACCAAAATGCAAATCGGTTGGTTACTTGAATGTTAGCAAACATCTCCCCTGGCCATGAACAGTATGTTAAGCAATTAAACAAAAAGAAGAAAATGTTAGAGATGTTTGATGATCAAAACAACTCCCTATGATTAACGACCACGTTATCTGGAAATCTTTTTCCTTTGATTCTTTGGTGTGTTTTTTTTTTATGGTGGCCAGCCAGAAATGTGTAATCTCCCTCTTACAAAACAGGTGTATTGTAAAATATAGTTTCTGCGATTGTATAAAGAGCACAGGTGGTTAAATTAGATATATAAAGAGCCACTTTGATCTAGTGGTTAAGGTACCAAGCTAGAAAGCCTCAGACTGTGAGTTTTAGTCCTGAATTAAACCTGAAAGCCAGCTGGGTGACTTTGGGCCAATCACTAGGAGATGGTGAGTTCTAGTTCTGACTTAATCATGAAATCCAGATGGATGACTTTGGGCAAATCACCAGGAGATGGTGAGTTCTAGTCCTGGCTTGACCATAAAAGCCAGCTGGGTGACTTTGAACTAATCAACAGACGATGGTGAGTTCTAGTTTTGACTTAATCATGAAATCCAGATGGATGACTTTGGGCAAATCACCAGGAGACGATGAGTTCTAGTCTCAGGCATGAAAGCCAGCCGGGTGACTTTGGGCCAGTTCTTCTCTCTCAGTCCAACCCGCCTCACAAGGTGGTGGTTGTGAGGTAAATAGGAGGAAGGAGTATTTGCTATGTTTGTTGCCTTTTAATTGTTTATTTTAAAAAAATGAGATATAAATTTTAAAATAAAAAAAAAATAACGCATTCTTGCCATCCAAGCTCACCTACCATCTTCTTGTTCTTCAGGGATCTTTTCGGCCTCCAATCACACCCTCAATAACTGGGAAACCACCATGGGGAATTCCTACCTGTGCCGGAAAGAAGAATCCATCCAGGTGACCCCCAGCTATAGAATAAACATCTTCGATTTAAAGATCCAGCCATTTGACGTTGAAGAAGGGCAATTTTCAGCAGGTAAGAGAGAAAAGCCAAAGAGGTTTTAGGACACCTTCATTTAAAGATGCAAACTAAGATTCCTCAGAGGCCTTCCATTAATTGTGGAAACAGGAAGTCCTCAGCTTCCAACAGCTCATTTAGTGACCATTCAGAGTTACAACGTTGTGATGGGGAGGTTGCATCAGGACAGGGTCATTGGGACAGGAACTGCTGGTGGGAGGGGGGCTTGCGTGGGTTGGGTGAGGGCCGATGCTATCCCTGGTTGGCTGTAGTCTGGCACTCCACAAGCAGCACCATCAAAAGACACATTGACCTACGACTGGCCTACGAACCCCTCAGAATCCAAATCAACCACACAGCCAACCAGAGACGGCATCAACCCTCAACGATCCCGCGCAATCCCCCACTCCCTCCAACCGTCCACCTCCCAATGCCCCTGATGGAACCTCCCCATCACAAGACTCACCGATGATTCATACCTGACCCATCACACTCGACACACCCACACCTGAAGCCCTTATAAACAACACTGACATCTCCTAAAGCAGGGGTGTCAAACTGGTGGGCCGGATGCGTCACACACAGGCCACACCTACCCCGGCTCCGCAAAGGCAAAAAAACCCATCGTGATAACGTTCATGTGACATGATCAAGTTTAACACCAGTGTGTCAAAGGTATTACCTAGCCTGGTAACGAAACATTCAGAAAGCAACCCCCAATCTCAGAGAACGAACCTCCACTCTCATCTCTAAGGGCGTTGTGACTTCAAGTCGTCGCTAAATGAACGGTTGTAAATTGAGGACTATCTCTAATCCCTGAATTGCATGAGCCAGAATGGTCACAGTTAGAGAACAGATAAAGATCCAATGATAACAATAAGAGCTTATGCTGACAACCACATTGGGATATATTGAAAGAGGAGTGGATTCCATAAAGGAGACAGAAACTGATAGATCTCCTAGAAACTCTAGCCGGTTCTTTTAACCATCGAGCTTTCTGCTCTGAAAATACTTGGTCAGTTTGCAAAGAGCTTTCAAGCTGATAAGAACACTTATTTCCCACTTCTTAAAACTTGGTTGAGTGTCTTTAAAAAAAAAAAACCCACTTAACTTCAGACTCTTAGGCCTCTTAATCTTGAAACAAATTTATCTTGAGATAAATATACTTGTAAAGGCTATAAATGTAGTTTTGTTTGGAATCAGGTTTATTCTGTATGCCTCATAATAATCTTTTTTTGGAGCCAAAACTTTTCAGATGAGGAACAGGACTGAGAGAAGATTGATCTGAACCCCGGATTGGCCTCTTAATTTTTTCCCATCACTCATTTAACCCAACAAATGTTCAGGGTTTTATACATATACATATATACATACATACATACATACATACATACATACGTACGTACGTATGTATTATGCAAGTTGCATCACTTTTAAGCATCAATGGAAATTTTTAATCTAAAAGCTGGTAAATTGGCCTGCAAAAAAGCCCAAAATATTCCCAAAATGCTTTGCAGAAGCAACCTCTAACTCAGAAAATGGTGTCAGATTTCATGAGGTTTTTGATGTTCTCATAATAAGGGTTTATAACCTCTAGCCGGAATGCCAACATCTTAGGGGAAAAACCACGATATTAAAAGAGAGATTAATGAAGAATTCTCATGGAATTTTAGCCATTTTGAGATTCTGGTCAGATTTATTTCAATCCTTGACCAAAAAAAAAAAAGGCCATCTTGACCTCTTGCAATTGGTCAGCTGTCCTTTTTTTCTCAATTTTCATGGACAAATGTTACGAAGGCGTCTCTTAAGCTGGATTCTCTCATTTAGGATTGTAATGCCTGCCATAAAGCCCTACTCGCTAGGCTTTCTTTTCGCCAAATTATCTTTTGATTTGCTTATTCCTTCTTTCTCATCTACAGCACGAGAATGTTTGCTGGATGATGACACTATTCTCATCCCAATTGTAGTTGGAGCTGCCCTTGCAGGCTTGGTTGTTGTCATAGTGACCACTTACTTAATTGGCCGAAGGAAAACTTACGGCGGCTATCAAACCCTGTAGGGTTGGTATGACTGTTCTTCAATCTTGGTGGGGATTAAAAAGCCCGTTTCCCACACATGGAAGCCAACTGTGTAAAACTTGTGCCTCTCTATTTAAAAAACTGGGAAGCTCCTGCACTCCAGTGAAACACAGCCAACAATTGAACTCATCTGAGTGTAATAAGGACTTTGCAAACTGCCTCGGAGAGCTAGGAAGGGTGAAGGTCAGCTCTGAAACGAAACTTTAGATTGAAATATTGTTATGTAGAGATGTTAAGTCAATAAGTAATTCTTGAGGAGAGGGGTTGGTTTTACTCAGGCTCATTTTAGGGTGTTAAAGCCACAGGGGTACAAATCAAGGCCTTGGCTACAGCTGTGTTGTGTACAAAGCGATGGTTAGCCTGGCTGCCATAACAACTGTAACCTGGGAATCTAGGCCTGTCTATGGTACATAGTTGTTTTCTTTCAGCTTATGAACAAATCTGTTGGGTTAACTACTTCAGCCTGAGTAAGCTTGATTAATGCATTCTTTTCTCTCTCTCTCTCTCTCTCTCCACCAATTTGGTAGCAGTTACTAATTCTGAAACTCGTCCTGGCTCTTTGAGACTTTAAAATAACCCAACAGCAACATTTTCAAATACTGGAGGCGTTGGTCTTTTGTCTAGGAGGCGAAAATAATTAATTGCCTTCTTTTTAAACAACAACAACAATCAAAACAAAATAGAATGAGAACGTTGTTGTTTTAAGTGTCCTTAGTTTATGTTGAAGGATTTAAATTCCTCTCTAGCTGAAGGTCTTACTTATACAAGTTGGGTGCAAATTAGGAGAAAGGCATTGTTAAAAGTCCAGTTTGCGCTGTTGCATTTGCAGCCAGGTGTAAATGGGGCTGAGGATCTTAGTCTCAGAACGTTGCTCCTTGAAGTGCCTGTAAAATTTTAGCACATAAATCCCCATTTGTAAGCCTTCTTAACAAAACAACATGCAAAGGGCTACTGTTTAGATTTTTCTTTTTTCTGATAATAATGAAAAGACCATGAAAGATTGGCAAGCTAATATCATAGGACAGGGCTTTTCTGCCAGTTAAGCCACTTCCAGAACTGGAACTTAAGGTACTTTTTGTGTATTAAAACCCCCTAGTTTACAAACAGTTGTGAGCAGTGGCCCTCTAATAAAAAGGAAGAGGATAAAATAATCTTGCCCTTCATTTAATATCTTGCTTTCCTCCTCAATGGGCAACCGTAATTAAGACTGTACCTAAATCGTACTTGCACTATTGTCTTTTTGGATTCAACAGTTCTTTGTGTATGGGCGTGTGTATTAATAGGGATTAGTACATTTGTCAAGTTGTTATTTATATGCTGCTGTGGATATTTACAAAGACCCAACTCAAGGTGCCCTTTCACTTTAAAATATATCAATGCCTCTGTTGGATTTGCACCCCCAGCTCTTCTACTAAAAGTCTGAACACTAGAGCAACTTCGCCTGTGTCAATTCTGATAAATGTCTGCTTTTAACTGTTAAAGCAACTGTGGTCTTTACTGTGTTTGTACTTCTGTGTAGGAATTTGACTGTTTGCACGTAGTTCTTTAATAAAAACTCTTCTGTTCATGAGGAAATTTGGTGATGCTTAATTGAAAACCTTTCTCCAAAAAAAGTAGTCTTTTAAGACTATTTGCTCGTGGTTCAACCCCTGGTCTATTGGGTGAAGCCAATAATTGGAGCTTATTCTGATCATCATGATGAGAGACGCAACCTTACCAAAGCAAATGGTGCTGGTTATTAGTCTAAATATCTAAATAAATGGAAATTAGCCAAGAAAGAAGAAGTATGGGATTTCTAGAGATTTCCTGGAGGTTTTGCTTTATCAGTTATACTGCCCAATGGTTTCTTGAACAAAACGTGGCGCCCCAGTTTATTAAGCCATGAATTGGTTTCCCAGCCACCATGGTTCCTGCTGGTGGACACCCTCGGGGAAGGAATATTGCTTCCTTGTTTTGGTTTCCACCTCCCCAGGAACATCTGGAGCAATATTGGACAATAGAGTTGGCCTTTCCTTACTGAGTCTTGACAACAGCAGTTCCCAACGTGGACATCCTCCAGATTGTGGTTCTTGAGGTCCCAGAATTCCAATCAGAGGTCATATTGGCTGGGAGTTGAATTTCATACTGTGGAGGGGGTCTAGTTACCTTATGTGTTTCATCAGCTTGGACTTTTGTTGAGCTTCCTAGGCCTACAAGAAGCTCTCTTGTACAAAGTGTTTGCGGGATTTGCAAATGGGGAGGTCTGCTTTGCTTTGTGTTTTATGTTGGGAAAGCAATATTGGTGAGCTGCCTTTGACATCCCAGTTGGGTCAAAGGCCAGAATGAGGCTCTCCTTCAAGAGGTCATCTCACCTGCTTAACTCTGTTTATCACCCTTTCTCCATCCAGCTGAAGATTGCACCCCAGCGGTCGACTACTTCTTTGTGCCACTCCTGATGGCAGTAGCCTTGGTAGGCTTAGTTTGGCTGGTGCTCATGGCATATTGTGCTAAAATTCGGCATCGTGCTGGCTATAGACAGATCTAGATCCCGAAAAACGATGCAGGGTGAAGTCTTCCATTTTCAAACTGACCAGAAGGAAGGATTGGTGTTATTTCTCGCACATGCTTGTTCCTTTAAACATTGCACAAAACGCCTACTCTACTGACAGAAGGATGTTGGGGGTTAATGGTTGTTGAATTGGTGGCTTATTAAGATAAGCTGGAAGAGATTTCTTCTGCATTTGGAATTACACCAACAGAAGCATATTCTCTTTCTTAGAAAGGACCTGCTCATTTTGGGGAGGATTTAAATGTGACCAATGCTGTAATCTTAATATGTTCATAGCATCATTTTGTCAGGCTCCAAAAGGAAAGAAGACTTATACCAAAGCCTCAAGAAAAGAGATGCAGGGCGCGTGATTCTTCTGAAAGACTTTTTATTCTGTACCGATGCTTTGCCCCCCTTATGAAAAAGTGTGTTATTCCTGAAATGGGGAGTTTTGCAAAATGCTGTTGATGTTGCTTTCTCTCTCTAACTAAAGCGTTTTTGAAGATGTCGAAATACTGTATCCCGCATTTGTTTTCTCTGCTTCGGTTAACCGTCTTGCAAAGAAGCCAGCCAGAATTGCAAATTCATGCAAAAGTTGACGGTCTTGCGATGTGTGTGTGTGGTGGGGAGGGATGTTGATGGCTGGAATCAGAAAGATCAGGGGCTCCCCCAATTAGATCTAATTCAGAGTTGCTGGAAGTTTGGTGACGTATATATTTATTATATTATTACCATTATGCTTCGCCTCAAAGTCTGCAGATGTTTGGGCTGGATTTGGCCTTTTTTTAATCTACCTCTTGTCCTTCCCAAGGACCGGGGATAGACAGAAGTGATTTGATGGTGTTAAAAGTATTGTTGCAGGATTTAAGCTTGTCCAAGTAAAGCTACCTGTTTCAATGGACTGAAAATGATGAGGATAATTTTGTCCTAAACATTAGAGGTTCGATACCAATTTTGCCTATTATTCTTGAAACTGAAACTCTGCATTCCAGGCTACTTAGGCTTCTTTACTGTGTCCCTAATAGCAATAGCACGTAGACTTATATACCGCTTCTCAGTACTTTACAGCCTTCTCTAAGCGGTTTACAGAGTCAGCACGTTGCCCCCAACAATCTGAGTCCTCATTTTACCGACCTCGGAAGGATGGAAGGCTGAGTCAACTTTCAGCTGGTCAGGATCGAACTGCTGGCTGTTGGCAGAGTTAGCCTGCAATACCGCATTCTAACCACTGCGCCACCAGGGCTCTTCAAATGCACACGGTGAACAACGGTGGGGCAAACGACCTACATTAGGCAGTCTAAAAACAGAGAGCCAGGAAAAAGCTGGCAAGGTGGAGAGAAGGAATGGCCTTAAGATTTTACACGCGTATGTTTAAAGCTCGGTTGTGACTTGGAAAGAAAAGAAGCTGGAGATCTTGTTTTCCATCGGTGAAAGCGATCCTTTTGCACGACATCCTGGCGGCTGATGCTGAATCTCCCATTTCCCTCCACTTCTGTAAAAGAAAACCCAAGAAGTTTGCCCTTCTGCAGATGCTCATTCTCCTTGAGGTTGGCCAAAGGGCCTGCCTCCATTCATAAGAACACTTTGATCCTGTGTACCATGGACCATAAGCTGCTGGAGCATCTGGTAGGTATTCATTTGGGAAACTCCGTCAACCAGGAAGGCAACTTTTAGAGCCAAGTGGTTAAGACCAGCCCACCAGCCCCTACCCACCATAAAGAATAGCTTTGCCTATTTGTACTCCTGCTCATTGATCTTCCAATACTCACTTTGGTCACTAACTAACCTTCTGCCTCTTCTTTTGTTTTGTTTTTTTTCCCATCTTTATCTCTGCAGCTGAAGAATGTAAAAGCTCTGATATCCTCTTTATCATCCCTGTTGTGGTGGGTGTGGTGACTGGCGTCTTGGTTATTGTTGGCTTTGTGATGTTCATGGTTTCCAAACGCAAGCACCAAGTTGACTATCACCCTGTGTAAACCCCTCTTCCCTTTTTTCCCTTCCCTTCCTCAGCCCGTTTTCTTCCCTTATTTCCCCCTCTGCATTTATGTGATACTTCGATGTTGTTGTTGTTTTTTTGAAAATAAATAATAAAAAAGAAAACCACCCTATCCGTGTTGCTTGAGAGTATTTTGGACTTTATCTTTAGGCTGTGGGATGAGCTACACTGGGCATGTCGCATACGAAGAACAGCTACGGGACCTGGGTTTGGCCAGTCTAAAGAAAAGAAGGAAAAGGGGTGAGATGATAGCAATCTTCCAGTATCTGAGGGGCTGCCACAAGGCAGAGGGGGCAAGGTTGTTCACCAAAGCACCAGAGGGAAGGACGAGAAACAATGGATGGAAACTGATCAAAGAAAGAAGCAACCTGGAATTAAGGAGAAACTTCCTGACAGTGAGGACAGTGACTTCTAGTCCCACTTTAGCGTGAAAACTACTAGTTGACTTTTGCCAGGAGATTGTGAGTTCTAGATGGTGAATTCTAGTCCTACTTTAGACATGAAATGCCAACTGGATGTCTTTGGGACCGTCGCTTTCTTTCAGCCCAACTCAGAATGGTAGCTGTGGGGAAAACGGGAGGAAGGTGTATTGTGTTCATCACCTTTAGTTATTTATAAAAATAATAAAGATGGGTATAAATAAATAAAATGGAGTAGGAGTCCAACTTCCCTCAAAAGAGCTTCTAGATGCCTGGGGTTCCATTCCAAGGTGGAATCCTAACCTTGGTTGATTGTTCGCCCCAAGTCCTGAGACACCCCATGGTACAAAAATCCATCAACGGCATTGAAGATCTACCCTTCAACTGTCCACCGTCAAGCCTGTGTAAGCCCATGTGCAGTACAGAAAAAAGGCTTTGCTATGCTGTAAGTCAGTCCTTTTATTTCAGGGTACAAGCATCTGAGACCCCACCTCTTCACCGCCTCCCCAGTCATTTCTCTCCCAATCTGAAATGCTGCAACAGGAACGTTGGAGGCCAACGAGAGAGAGAGAGAGAGCAGTCCGTACACTCCAATGCTGGTTCTCCCTTTCTTCACGTGGATATCTACCACCCTGTTCCAAGAACATGAGATCAGGCCGAAGTACGCTACTAATGAAAAGTCCCAATTCTGATGGCACAACTGTGTGGTGGGCCTTCCGTGGAGGTCTGTTCCCCGTGGGAATAAAAAGGTGCGGAGGGTGAACGCTTCCGGCAAACATCTTGAGAAGATCAAGATGGAGGATCAAGAGGTCCCTCCCTAGACATCCCTCTGTCTATCTTTGCAAACCTGATTAGGCATCCCAGGCTGGTGAACGTGAAAACCACATTTTTCCTCATTATTTAAGGAAACACCTGTCTTGACTGAGAAGGCCTATGCTGCGTAGGGAACATCACTGCCATTAAACTGAGTCAGAAAAGCAATAAGATAAAAATAGCCAAGGATTTTTGGAGGGAGGGGGTCAAAGATTACGCTTAAGGCCAACTAACTGTTCCTTGGGCCTTCTACAGGGGTTAAATCAGAGATTTTTGAAGGTGGCTTTATGAATATCCATTTCAAAAATTGCAAAAACAGTCAGAAAAAGGCTGCCTGGCTGTCCTTCAATATCTATTCCATACTGGCCCCTTAAATACGAAAAGCTGCTGGCTGACTTCCGTATTGTCAGTGAAGGTATGTCCCCAAAGGAGAATAAAAATTTTAAAAAATAATAAAACCAATTGTTGTGGTATTATGGCTAAACTCTCAATTTGATGCCAAATGCCGTCCCTTTTGACACACCGGGGAAAGATCTAAAATGCTGTTTTGTTTAAAATGTTTTTTTTTAAAAAAAAAAATCGTTGGGCTGAAGAGTTTACTCCCAGGATGAATGATTCAAGTGCTTTACTTTTAGTTCCATAGTCTATCTTGGGATGCTATCTTTTATTTTATTTTATTTTATTTTATTTTCAAAGAAAACCAAAAACCTTAACCCTCAAAATAGGTCTGGTGTTTCCTGATGCTAGGTCGATAGCCAATTGGATTTTCCCACGGTGAGGAAACATCTGATTGCCATAAAAGGGTGATCCGCAAACGGGCGGGGGAGGGTCTGGCCTTAGCTATTGATGGTTAGTGTGAAAATGATCCGCCCTAGAAATCGATCGTTGTTAACGGTATTGATAATTCCTTTCCCGTTCAGTTGGCATTGAATGTCCACAGTCTGGTTTCTTGTAATTCCTGTAAAATGAATTGCTACCAAGGGCTGCGTGTAATTCACCTGGAAAAAAAAAAACGATCGATCGAGACTTTATTTCAGACTTGGAATGACATAAAATGACAGAAAGCAATAAAAAACAACCTAAGTGATCGCGTGTGCTGGGATGCTGCAACGGGCGTTAGGGTGAAAAACGATCGCAATGCACTTTTTTTCACTGCCGTCATAACTTCGAACAGTCCCTGAATGAACCTATGTAAGTCGATATCTCCAGCGGTTCAAAACATCTGGAGACTGCCAATAAGGACTTACTCTCCCAAAAGCATCTCAATACCACAGGGATCATTGGCGCAACATTAATCCGAGAGTTAACACGCTTCTACTTACGTGTGTGAGTTTGCCATAATAAGGGAAATACATGAGGTCAAAGGCTGCGCTTGGGAAGAAGTCTAGTGACTGGAGGTGACTTTGGTTGCCTTTCTGCAATTCAGAACACAGGGAAGGACGTCAAGATAAGCAACGGATCGACAACAGGCTGTCCGTTAATGGAAATCAGCTAGCCATTGTACCCTGATATAAAAATGGCCCTTCCCTTCTCCACAATCTCCTGACTGTTTTAGATTACAAGTAGTCCTTAACTTAGCAACCACAATTGTGCCCATTTTTGTGGCTGAGACATTTGTTAAGTGAGTTTTACCCCGTTTTACGAACTTTGTTGCCAGCGTTGTTCAGCGAATCACTGCAGTTGTTAAATTAGAAACACTTCAGAAGGTCGCAAAAGGGAGTCGGGTGACCACCCCCTTCGGGATTCCACGACCGTCGTAAATAGGAGTTGGCTGCTAAGCCTGTGAATTTTGATCACGTGACTGTGCAAGGGTTGCGAGTGTGAAAAAACACACACCCATAAGTCACCTTTTTTTTTGTGCCATTGTAACTTCCAGCAGTCCCTAAATGAACCGTTGTAAAATAAGAAACACCTGTAATTGTTTTAAGGAACACAGGGAAAGCAATGAGAAGAAATTATTGCCAATCAGAGGAGATGGGAGATCCTTCGTCTTGATATAGACGGGGGGGGGGGACAAAAAAGACAAAAGGGGTAAAATTGGCTGCAACTCAATGACCGCATCGCTTAGCAACTGAAGTTCGAGTCTCAGTTGCAGTCATAAGTCAAGGACAACCTGTGGAGCACCAGGGATGTCTTAGCAAAACCAGGGCTGTTCCTCCCTTCACATACAAGCTGGTCAAATCTGATTAAAATGGTAACCGTATCTTGCTGCTCACACTGTTCTGCCACAACTGTCCTCATTAACAACAAAAAACAAGGTTTGACTCAGAGTTTGGCTGCCAAGAATATCTGGTGCAAATTTGCCGGACTTAGAACAAATAAAATCAAGATAATTTACCTGGACTTTACAACTCACAGTAATTGGAGTGCCGTAGCCAGGCTCATACCCGATAATCTGCAAAAACAAGAGCTGTTTAATTCCCTTTAAAAACACTTTGTTCTTCTAAGCTCTATTTTGCTGCAGGTAAAAATTAAAAACAAGAGATCAAAAGCTACCACCGTTTTGAACTTCGTCTTGCTCTCTTTTCCAGGGCCACAGAACGGTTCACACAGCCTTCCTCAATCTCTCCTTACTCGAGTTTTATTTTCGTAATCAAATTTATAGAGCTCCCCATCTGAGCAGATGGCCAATATCTAGAGGAAGCAAGTTTAAGACTGCCACCTAAGCTGAGATAGTACAATATTTAAGTCAGTGTTTTTCAAACTTTGCAACTTTAAAATGTGTGGACTTCAATTCTCAGAATTGACTCCCAGAGTCAACCTCTTCTCCAAAGCACCTAAGGCAGTGTTTCCCAAACTTGACAATTTTAAGGCATGGGGACTTCAACTCCCAGAATTCCACAGCCAGCATTGCTGGCTGTGGAATTCTGGGAGTTGAAGTCCTCATGCCTAAAAATTGTCAAGTTTGGGAAACACTGACCTAAGGCAGGAAAAGAAGCAATGGGTGGAAACTAATGAAGGAGAGAAGCAACCTAGAACCAAGGAAAAATTATTAATCAATGGAACGGCTTGCCTTCAGAAGTTATGGGTGCTCCATCACTGGAGGCTTTTAAGAAGAGATTGGGTAGCCATTTGTCTGGAATGGTATAGCAGGGTCTCCTGCTTGAGTAGGACTAGAAGACCGCCAAGGTCTCTTTCAACTCTTTTATTCTGTAAGACCATTGTTCCTTCTCCCTTGCTTCATGCGTTTATTTATTTATTTATTTATTTATTTAAGAGACTTATATACCGCTTTAAGTGCAAGCACTCTCTAAGCGGTGTACACCAGTAAGCAATGTATATATATATTTACATTGCCCCCAACAATCTGGGTCCTCATTTTACCTACCCCGGAAGGATGGAAGGCTGAGTCAACCTTGAGCCGGTGAGATTTGAACCGCTGACCTGCTGAACACAGTCAGCTAAAGTGGCCTGCAGTACTGCACTCTAACTGCTGCGCCACCTCGGCTCGGTTCTGGCGTTACTTGACCCAGTGCAAGATCTGTCCCAGGAGATCCAAAGATGCTTTTTCACGAGGCAACTGGACTTTCTTGCTTTCCTTGGAAGACGTTTCGCTTCTCGTCTAAGAAGCTTCTTCTGCTCTGACTGGATGGTGGGGTATGGAAGGATTTATACTCCTTGCAGACAACTGTTGCAGACAATATAAATCCATCCATTCCTCACCATCCAGTCAGAGCTGAAGAAGCTTCTTGGATGAGAAGCGAAACATCTTCAAAGGCAAACAAGAAAGTCCAGTTGCCTTGTGGGGAAAAAAAGCATCTTTGGGACAACCGTGATGTCTGGATGACTGAGACTCTCCACCGATGTGTCCCCAGGAGACGCAAGCAAGTATAAAATGACCTACACGATTCATCTTTAGCAATACGCAAGGCTGCCCCTG